CAGGTCACTCCACAGAAACTGCCCTCCTTGCTGTCACTGAGGAACTGCACATTGCTAAAGCAGCCTCCCTCTCCTCTGTCATCATCCTTTTGGACCTGTCTGCTGCATTCGACACGGTGAACCATCAGATCCTCCTTCGCACTCTCCAAGAACTTGGAGTTTCAGGCTCTGCACTTTCCCTCCTCACCTCATACCTCAAAGACCGCACCTACAGGGTTACTTGGAGAGGGTCCGAGTCCGACCCTTGTCAATTAACTACAGGGGTCCCTCAGGGCTCTGTTCTTGGTCCCCTCCTCTTCTCCTTGTACACAAACTCGCTCGGATCTGTCATTAGCCCGCATGGTTTTTCATACCACTGCTACGCTGACGACACCCAATTAATTCTGTCCTTTCCCCGCTCAGAGACCCAGGTCGTCGCACGCATCTCTGCTTGTCTAGCTGACATCTCTCAGTGGATGTCTGATCACCACCTCAAGCTCAACCTTGACAAGACTGAACTGCTTTTCCTTCCGGGAAAAGATTGTCCCACTCTTGACCTAACAATCAACATCGGCACCTCTGTTGTTTCCCCGACTCAGACTGCAAGGAATCTGGGTGTGACCCTAGATAACAACCTGTCCTTCACTGCAAACATCGCTGCTACAACCCGCTGCTGCAGATACACGCTTTACAACATCAGGAAGATACGTCCCCAGCTGACACAGAAAGCGACGCAGGTTCTGGTCCAGGCTCTCGTCATCTCATGCCTAGACTACTGCAACTCCCTCCTGGTTGGTCTACCTGCATGTGCCATCCGACCTCTGCAGCTCATCCAGAATGCAGCGGCTCGTCTGGTCTTCAACCTTCCTAAATTCTCCCACACCACTCCGCTCCTCCACTCCCTTCACTGGCTTCCGGTAACTGCTAGAATCCACTTCAAGACAATGGTACTTGCGTGCTGCGAATGGATCTGGCCCTTCCTACATCCAGGACATGGTTAAACCGTACACCCCAGCACGTGCACTCCGCTCTGCATCAACCAAACGGCTCGCTGCACCCTCGCTGCGAAGTGGACCCAAGTTCCCATCAGCAAAAACACGTGGGTTTGCTATCCTGGCTCCAAAATGGTGGAATGAGCTCCCCATTGACATCAGGACAGCAGATAGCTTACACACCTTCCGGCGCAGACTGAAAACTCATCTCTTTCGACTCCACTTCGAGCGATAGAACTATTAACAAAGCACTTATATACTAATAAAGGACTGGCTTACCTAAAGCCAGTTGAGTAGCACTTGAAATGTTTTTGCTCTATGAAGCCTGATGTACTTTATGATTCTGTTTTCTTCAAGTTTGTATTTTGTTGGTCGAACGCACTTATTGTAAGTCGCTTTGGATAAAAGCGTCAGCTAAATGCAATGTAATGTAATGTAATGTAACTATGGCCAGTGTTTACCTATGGCCAGTACTTACATGGCATAGAACCGTAGTTACAGTAGTAACTATGGCCAGTACTTACACGGCTTAGAACAGTAGTTACAGTAGTAACCATGGCCAGTGCTTACATAGCCTAGGACCGTAGTTACAGTAGTAACTATGGCCAGTAATTACCTTACTCTCTGCACCTAAACAAAAAACGGGCAAAATATGGCACCCTGGGCTTTCCATACTAAATTGAACGAGAAACGCAGCTAAAGCTGGGAACTAAAATGCTAATGATAGCTCAGGCACAACGCCACAAGCAGAACTTTCAAAAGAGCATAATAAGGGCAACTTTATGGGAGAGGAAGCGGGAACACTGTCGTCACCAGAAAGTCTAAGCCAAACAATAAAAAAGACAGCAATCAGGACAATTTAGCTGGGAGAGGGTGCGGGGACACAACCATCACCACCAACAAGTTGACACAAACCTGTCCGTCGAGGCTCTGCACAGCACACACAGCCCCTGGAGGACACGTTAACAACCCGTAGTTTAAAGAAAGAAACTACAGCCATATGTACTTGTGCATTAATTAGGTGTATGCACTGAAGAGGCATCATATTAGTGACAGATTAGAAAATAAAGTTTCCAAATGCTGCCTCATAATAAAAGTCACCATTCATTGACATTAAAGTCATTTTTTTTATTGAAGGCAGGAGCTCGACCCATAAAAACACATTCTACTAAACTTGAATTCCCATGTTGAATGGTTTGCTGTTTCCAGTAAACATAACAGGACACAGTTAGTTTTATTTTACCTTTATTTACTCAGGGTGAGGACATTTAAACGTTTTCTCAGGTGCTCTCTGCTGCACGCTCACTCTGCAGAGAGCCACAGTCGTGGTTTGTAAAATGTTGTGTAAATACTCCGAAATATTTAGAGGTTAGGTGTCCTGCTCAAAGGGAGAAACCCAACATCTTACTTCAGAGGTTTCCAGTGTTGCTGCAACACCTCCTGTCTTTTTTCTGAATATGTACGTGGTTTCTTAACGAAAAAACGCAAATGTTTTTACATCTCTGAAATGTCTTTGATAGCATGAGGGAAAAGCGGTCGTTAATATTATTTTTGTTTTCAATGGACTCAAAAGATTATTACACAGCTCTCAGTAGGAAAAGGAAAACCAGAGCAGAATAATATTTATCCGTTAACTTATTCCAGCGCTTTCTGGTATACTTCCATTTGTTTGAAATACTCCTTTAAACATAAAAAAGCTTTAAATTACTTAACATTTCCCCTAAATCTGGTAAATATATAACCAACATTGTTAGAATTAAAACCCTATATCTAAATGTAACTCCCGTGGAGGTTTTTGTTTTTGTCTTTTAGTAACTTGAAAATGCTTAAATATATGTTCGTTAGGCCTGAATGAGTTTAAAGATGACATGTCATGTTCTGCTGTTCACACAGTAGAATAAAGTGAATTAAATACATAAACATTACCTTTATAGTCAAACTGTTTGTCTTTGGCGATACATTCAAACAGCCGTACTCACACATAAAGAAAATCAACACACACACTTTCTTTATCAAAGAATATTAGAAACTAGAAAAATGTGAAGATATTAAACCTTCTTGTCCTTTTTGTGGTTTATGAGAGTGACAACAAACAACATCACTTACAGATTGATAGAAAAAAAAATATCACAATCATGCAATTTCACTGTTAATAGTAAACATTTGTTTCAAAACCTAAGAGAGAATCCCTATTATGCTCATTTTCAGGTTAATATTTGTATTTAGTGTCTCTACTGTGACATTTCATGTTTTAATGTTCACAAAGCTCTTTATTTTCCTCATCCTGCCTGTGCTGCAGCACCTCTTTTCACCCTCTGTCTGAAACCAGAGCCCAGTGTGCTCTGATTGGTTAGCTGGCCGGCTCTGTTGTGATTGGTCAACCGCTTAGAGATGTCCCGCCCCTTAGCCTATCACGTAAAATGTGTTGGAGCGCTAGTCGATAAGCCGAGTGCTACATAGTGATGTCACTGTGTCCCTGAAGCAGACAAAGGAGTCCAATGGACAATTGACATGCACAAAAACCTATATAACACAGTACAGGAAAGGGAAGACCCCAATAAGCATAATAGGGCCTCGCTGTTGGTATGAATGGTATGAACACTTGGTGTAAACATTCATTAATAACTGTCACTTTACAGAGTTTTGATCACAGTGGTTCTCTGCTTTCATTCTGCTCAAAGTTAAAGTAGCATAATCAAATTATTTACAGAGTAAAATTACATTTCTGTCACACAGTGTCGGCCCTTTTGTCAAGAACTCTGTCAGTTTTTAAGTGACAATAATTAGAAAAGACTGATTATAATGAAAGAACTTTCAAAAATGTTCAAACATTTTCTAAATCAGACTTAGAAAATGGATCACCACATTTTTTTTTTCCTCACTTGCCTCTGTGAGAAACACAATATATATAATCACTAGGGCCGGGACTTTAACGCGTTAGTTAAGATTAATTAATTACACAAAAATTAACGCGTTAAAAAAATTAACGCATTTTAATCGCACTTATTTTTGCACCGCGGAACGTTTCTCACTGGATGAGTTTCAGGCGTACCGATTATACTGGAGCACCAACTAACGTTCATGACTTCAGACAACAACAAACCACAGTGAACAACAGTGGGAAATGTTGTTTTAAAAAACGGACGGATGGAAGCGTCGATAAGAGCACGGTTGTGTGCAAATTATGCAAAAAGGAATTCGCATATCACCGCAGCACATCAAGCCTCAAGTATCACCTCAATGCAAAACATATAGCAGCTAGCGTGGAAGCTAGCGTGGACGTTAGCCTCTTTTATCGCGTTCACACCAAAAAGAGCCGGTACTAAAATTAGTTCATGAGAACCTTTTTACCCCCACGAAAGTCCCTGCTAGAGAGCAGAGAGCTGCTAGAGAGCAGGGACTTTCGTACGGGTCTCTTGTGAGAAAAGAGCTATATTTCTGATTGGCTGGGCGGATTGCAAACCACGCCCCGTAAAACTCCCAAAAAGTTTTGTGAAGCCGCCATTTTATTATCCTCGCATTAGCATTATAAGCATTAGCATTATTAGCATTAGCCCAGCGCAGAAACGCAGAGAGACTAACTTATGGCAACACAAAATAAAACATGGGAGCGGTGGAGATGAGGAGGTGTCGGCGTTCTGGCGATTTACTCGGAAGGCTTCAGTAGAAGCTGCTGGGACTCCCAGCAGCTTCTACTGAAGCCTTCCCCAACTCCGGGGACTTCCGGCCGGGGACTTTGGGCGGCAGTATACGCCGTGAAGTGGTTTGCGGCCTGCCAGTAAACCCAAAGCAGAAGAAGAAGAAGTGACGTCAGCGGCTTCATTTGCCTAATCCACCCCCCAGGTTCAAAGAGTTCTCATGAACTAAGTTCTCATGAACCTTTGTGGGAAAAGTACTGCGGTGTGAATGCGCCTAATGGTATACTAAAATCCATGTGAAAAAAAATTGCTTCTCACTGTTCTTAGGTCAAATATTTATATGCGATTAAAAATGCGATTAATTTCGATTAATTAATTACAAAGCCTCTAATTAATTAGATTAATTTTTTTAATCGAGTCCCGGCCCTAATTTAATCACATAATAAATCAGGGAACAACAGTCAAGAAAACCCCTTACCATCAAAAAAGTTAGGAATTTAAAGTCTCAGTTCACCCATATCAGAAAAACAGTTTCCTGCTTACTTTAGTCAGCATCTTGCTATGCAGATAGTCCTGCTGTTGATTGCTAAATTCCAAGATTATTGCACAAGATGGAACAAATCCACCAATAATGACCAAAAACCGTGGCAAATATCATTGAAAAGACAGTATCTGCATGGCCGGATATCACGAGGGACAGGTCATGAAATACTTTGTGATTTGGGTGAACTGGAAGCCTGAATCAGCTACAATCCTGCATGTAACATAGTGTCCATATTTTACATAGTAATACATGTTGAAACGTTTTCGTATGAGACATGGTCATGAAAGAGTTTACTGGAATTAACTCACCTGGTTATCTCTCTTATCATTGATTTAAGGAAGCGACGATGTACCAAACAATATTACAAAAAGTGGACTCCTCAGATCCGATTGGACATCATCCCGGTGTTCAGTTTCAGAAAGAACGACTGCAGTTTGCACAGCGGGCACTTTGGCTTCTTCCTCTTCTTCTTGTTCTTCTCTGTCTTGTACACGCCGTGATATTTCCCCTCCTCGTCCTCCTCTTCCTCCACCCAGGGAACCCAGGCCCCGCTGTGCCTGCTGGGATTGGCTCGAGGGTCGTCGGGCGGGAAATAAACGGGCACGGCCGTTTGGTTGTGGAAGGCCAGTCGAGCCATGAGCTGCTGCACGACGTCCGGTCTCTGCGCCGCTAAGTCCTGCCGCTCGCAGGGGTCCGCCGTGATGTTGAAGAGCCACACGTTCTTCGGGGCGGAGGAGGATTTGGGGAGCGGGAAGACGGGACGTTCCAGGTTCCACCAGCGACCAGGGAGAGTGGACATAACCTGAGCAACAAAATAAAGATAAAAATGTTTAAAGAGGCCCTATAATGCGTTTCTTTGGGGGGCTATACCTTCTACTGTAGTGTGTTATATAGGTTTTAGTGCATGTAAATGGTCTGCAAAGGCTAAAATCCCTGTGTTCCCTCCAGAGGGACGTTCTCTCGTTCTCTCTCTATTACCAGCTGTGTGTCTTTGGTTTCTAACTTTCAATATTACCCTTTTGTAGTACTTCCATAGAAAACCCTTTCTGGCGAGAAGCGAAAGACATGTCTCTACAAAGCCACCAGACTCCATTGACAAAAACAGGGATTTTACGTCGCAGAACACAGACGTTTTTGTTGTACCGCTGCATGATTGTTACGTTTATTTTGTTACAGGTGAATACAAACATACCCTATTAATACACTAAAGTTGCATAACAACACGAAAAAACTGACATCAGCATCAAATGGGTTCTGCAATGGTACAATTACTGGTTTTCTGAATTGGGTATGGTGGCTTTTAAGAAAGCAAAGGAAGCCGCTTAGGAAAAGGTCGTATGGCGGTGCAATTATTCAGGATATTGGGTACTTTGACTATATTTTAGGTGGCTATATAACGATTGGCTGCTGCTTTCATCCATAGCAGGACACCAACATTTATTAAATCAAATGACTATCAATATCTAATACTGCACTACAACTTTGACTCTTGTATTTGTCACGATCTGTCTGTGTTGTGTTTTGTCTTGTCTTTTTCTGTCTTTGGTTTCCTGTTTTATTTTGTAAAGTGTTCACCTCCTGTTCCTGCCTGTTGCTTTCTGTCTGTTTTCCCTCCCTGATTACCCGATTGTGTTCACCTGGTGCCCCTGTGTTTTCTCCTCTCTCCTCACCTGTCTCTTGTTTGTTTGATTAGTCCTGTGTGCATTTAGGTTCTGTGTTTTCTGTTAGTCTTTGTGAGTTCCTTGTTGTAGTTGGACGTTGTTCACGGGGTGAGAGTTCTGTTTTGTCCAAGTTTGTTTCATTTAAGCCTTGAAATAAAGGTGTCTTTTCTGAGAAATCTGCGTTTGGGTCCTGCCTGCTTCGCTCATCTCTGACAGTATTGTATACAAGTTGTTTTCTGTTTTAGCTTAATTTGAATGTAATTAATTGTATAATGTGTCTCTGTTGCACAATGGATTAATGCTTTTAATGTTTTTTAGTAAAGCACTTTAATTGCCTTGTGACGAAATGTGCTTTATAAATAAACTTGCTTCCCCTAACTCCATGCATGTCTGCTACTCCAGAATGAGGCATGCCACACGCACTTATCTGTTTATATTTTACACAACACTTCAAAAAATCCCACTATCCATTTAAGTCAAAGTCAACTTTATTGTCAATCTTTCAGTTTGTGTGTACAGACAGAGAGATCGAAATACCATTTCCCACTATCCCGAAAACAATAACAAATGTATATAAAAATATGTATATACCTATCTATGCATTACATGAATGCACACAATGTACAACAATATCTGTTTTATTTTTCTTATTACTGCCAATTTTTATTCCATTCCATGTAAATACTGCTATATTTTACTATAATTGTAGCCTAATTATTTTTTATATTTTTCTAGTTCTCTACCTGTGTTTTTAATTCTTGTTTTACTTTTATGTATGCACCACGACACCAAGTCAAATTCCTCGTACGTGTAAACCTACCTGGTAATAAACCTGTTTCTGATTCTGATATACACACAATCAAAAGACACATTTATTCATATGGGGTCTCAGTGTGATGCAGTACCTGTGGCGGGACCCAGTCTCCGTGGCCTGGGTCACCTGTCAGCAGCTTCCAGTCTCCCACTCTGATGGCAGCCTGGACCGAAGCGTCCCACACTGACGGGAAACTAAACCGGGGCGTCGGATGGGATTTAGGCTGCGGTGCTCCTGCCTGAGACATGTTCTGGTACTGGGAGGACGTCCTCCTCGACTGGAAATGTAATGTGTGCTCCGTCTTGGATTTACGTTGAGGTGGTCTTGAGTGTGAAAAGTTCTGCGATGTGTTTCTCCTGGATTTTCGCTTCAAGCGTGGCTGGATCTGAGGCTGAGATTTAGGGCGAGATGTTCCCGAACCCGATGGATTGTATGTCGGCAGTCTCGGGGTCAGGGGGTAAACTTTTGTCCTGGATGTGGGTTTTGATTTTAGAACGGGCTTAAGCTTCGGTTTGGGAACAGGCTTAAGCTTTTGTTTGATAACTTCCTTTTTTGCTATTTTAGGAACGGGCTTAAGCTTTGTTTTGGGAGAGGGCTTAAGCTTTGTTTTGGGAGAGGGCTTAAGCCTTGTTTTGGGAGAGGGCTTGAGCTTTGTTTTGGGAGAGGGCTTAAGCTTTGTTTTGGGAGAGGGCTTGGATTTAAGTGTGGGTGCAGGTTTAGCAGCAGGATGGGGTTTCTTCACCCTAAAAGCTGACTTCTGCTTCGGTTTCTGCCTCAGGATCTTCTTCTTCTTCTTCTTCGGCTTCTTTGTGCCTTTCGATTTGCTTGCTGACAAATTTAAAAAAACACAAGTTTGAGGAATGAGGAAAATTAAGTTCACTTTTGACTGGTTTTGCTGATGCCATCCCCCAGCAGATAACATTACATTTATACCTTCTTTAAATGCATAATTCCTGTAAGCAAGGGTGTACATTTGGTTTGAGGAGTGAAAACATTTAATGTTGAAACATTTTCTCGATTCAATTCCATTTCCTGTCTTTCTACAAATATATTAGGGACTACGGTGTTAGTAAAATCCAAGGAAAAGGTGTAGTGTAGTGTAAGATGTATTTCTTTGAGGGGAGATGTATGGATACAGCTCTCAACACTCATATGAAAGAGAGCTGTATATATTTCAATAATCAAAAAACCATTAGAATATGCTCACAACCAATAACAAATATTTGATAAACTCCTCTCTCCTTTCTTTATCTTACCTAGTCTGCATATTTTCTTTTTATTCATGCATATTTTATTAATCACTCCCCTTTTTAAACTCCTGTTTTTTTTTTTTTACTGACCTATATTGGAATGATTTCTTAACTTGTTTTTTACAACTATATTAAATAGATGGAAATATTTGTTTACAAAGATGACCAAACCGTTTGAGACCCACTGAGATAACTTAGACTAAAGTTTACAATCGAATCACTCAGAGTCCTTTACCTCTCCCTATTGCTGAAACAGCTTCTAATCTCCATTAGCTCCGAGCTAGCACCAGATGCTAACAACAACCCCGTAACTGGTGCGCTGTCTCTCTCTCTCTCTGTCGCTCGCACACTCACACAAAATGCGCTCGTGCCACACACAGAGACGCTGTGTTCTCCTCCGTGACGATGACCGCTTGCGTAAAATAAAAAAATAAAACACATTAGAAAAGTGGGGGGGGACACAAGCGGGATTTAAAAAAGTGGGGGGGGACAGTCCCCAGTGGAAATTACACCCATGTCTGTAAGAGATTCTCCTGTTTTTCCTGCCTACTTCTCTTCTCAGCTTCTTCCTATCCCTTTTTAACTTCCCTCTGTGCAAATCTGAATTTAGAATTCTTCTATGAATCCGTTTTTTTTGCATGTGTTGGCTACGAACTAGGAGTCTTTAACAGCTGCTTTAAAGTATGAGCATGCTAACATCTACCAATTATCCGTAGACAGAAATATATGATGATATCCATATTGGAGAAATTGCTAGATGGGAAGGAAATACGAACATATAAGGTTCGACCAAAGTGGGAAAACAGAATATATTAAAAAATATATATTAGTTATATCCATGACAAGTGATTAAACTCCATCATAACAGAGAATTAAGAAATTCACTCATAAATATACTGTATCTTTTAGTGACATTAAAACTGTAGAACCAAATCAAGCCATTGAACTGCACAGATTATGACTCGCTAAAGTCTTTCCACTAAAAATGATGACAATTGTTACCATAAGCGTTCATGGATTCAAATTTGACAGCCACATTTGTGCAGATTTCTCACAAGTGAATTGAATTCATGCACCGTAACCTGAGTAAAGACTTTGATACTTAACGGCAAATTATCCTTTGAATGCATCCTTATTTGACATTTATATAATTTTGACGTTAAATGTACCCTTAGCTCTCTCCGTGCTGACGTCCCACTTCATGGTTTGCAGCGGAGGTTTGTGCAGAGGGTTGATGTTGTGAAGGATCTCCTGACGGGGCGACTCCTTCCCCTCGCTGATGGTGGGCCAGACATCGAATCCATCCAGACCCTGACTCTGAGAGGGTGACACATATTCAATTCAATTATGTATACACACTTAGAAAAACAAGTACAATCATAGGACATCATTGAGATATGTGAAATGGGACACCCAGTCAAGCAAGCAATCTGAAGCTGGAGAATAGGGACACTAAACAAAGTATTTAATATGTATTGCTCACACATCTAGAAATGGAGAGTTCATGTGTTAAAAAGGAGGAAATGTACAAGCTAAAAAACACCACAAAGTAACCAAATACCTTTAAAACGAAACGCATTTAACCCTAACTGCTTTATGGTCCCAAAACATTTGTTTCATTGGTCTAGAAAAGGGGTTAAAATAGTTATATAATAATCACTAACAAATCAAATGCATTTCAGAGCAAAATTCACTTGTATAAAGTAATATAAAGAACATCTTGTTGTTAATGAGAGTTAAAGCAGTCCATGTGTTTACTGCATGACAGAAAAAAATAAACATTTACCACACAGGCATACATAATAATACATTCCCTCAGTTAATAGAGTTACAAAATGTTCTGCACAAGTCAAACGCTGGCTTAATGTAGCCAAGATAGCCTTATTTATCTGCTTTGGCAATGAATACCCACGTGCATATTATGCCAAAAAACTCTTTGGGAGCTGTACACAGACGGGCCAATAAAAGTGATTTATGTCTGAACTGAACCTCAAAGTGTCTATGAGGCACGTTGTTTAGAAATAGTGCACTTATATATGTCAAAAGCACACTTATCTACATGATAGTACAAAATGATAGTTTTACAGTAGCGATGTGAAATTCAGAGACTGTAATGAAGATTAACGTGGATTTAGCTCCACATTTAGCTTGAATGTGAAATCAGTGGTAGAGTATGCAAAACAACTAGAGAACACCAAAACTAAATACAGAATCAGCAGCTTTAGTGGCCGCGGGGAGAAAAAAACAACTGTAAATCTGCTCTGTTTTACAGCACAATAAAGTCAGTATTGTACTCAGTGGGAGTGTGTGCTTTCTGCCCGGTAACTCTACCCTTTAATATTCTGAAAAATAAGATAGGCCAGGATAAAATAGCATCAATCACACCGGAGTGCTTGTCCCCATACTTTTCCTGTTTAATTCCGATAGTTCCTGGAATTTTGCGTTCACACCAAAAAGAAAACTTAGTTCAGAGAACTTTTACCCCCCTTTTTAGTGCCTGCTAGAGAGGTGGGACTATAGAGAGGCAAAGTCCCGCCCATCTACTTCCGACCCATGGGACCTTATTTCGGAAAAATTATGTATTGAAGTCAATGGGGAGAGAAAACGTATCTTTCGATCCCGTTTGAATTGTGCCATGAATTACACATATGATGTTTGTCAATCTTAAAAAATCATTTCCATGTCAAAAAAGTCACAGTTTGTCGTAAAACTGTTGAAATATAAGACTATGAAAAATACACAACTAGAAAGACTACAAATCCCAGAGTCGCGTAAGTGATGTCATAATTGTTTTCCTCCACTAAATATAAGAGATAGCTAAAATAAGATAACTTTAACAAGATGCCTGTGTGCTACCAGGTTGTTATCATACCAGCAATGAGTCTTGCTCGTTCTTTCGCTTCCCGTCTGATGAAAGGACCAGGAGTGGCTGGATCAAGTTAGCTACCTAGCTAGTAGCAAGCACGTTAGTTAGCATTACAGCCTTTAGCCTTGTCATTTTTATTAGCCTTAACATGAAGTAACATTAAGTAACCCAAAATGTGAAACAGTAAGAGTAGTAGTCATATTTCGTGAACCCTTTGAAGAGTACTGTCACACCAGTGTGATAATTCTATAATACACCTTTAAGCCCGGATGCCCCCGGTGGAGAAATTCTAACGCTAACGCTACATTAGCATCTGCAATCTTTTCTACTTCATGCTATCTGCACAAATGGTTGACATTTTTCCCGAAATAAGGTCCCATGGAGGTCCACCGGAAGGGGAGGGAAAAAAGTTCCAATTTCTGATTGGCTGGGCGAATTGCAAACCACGCCCCGTAAAACTCAGAAAAGTTTTTGTGACGCCGCCATTTTATTTCCTCGCATTAGCATTATTAGCATTAGCCCAGCGCACCAACGGAAAGAGACTAACTTATGGCAACAAAACAAATAACATAGGAGCGGTGGAGTGATGAGGAGGTGTCGGCGTTCTGGCTATTTACTCGGAAGGCTTCAGTAGAAGCCAGTCCCCAACTCCGGGGACTTCCGGCCGGGGACTTCGGTGGCAGTATACGCAGTGAAGTTGTTTGCGGCCTGCCAGTAAACCCAAAGCAGAAGAAGAAGAAGTGACGTCAGCGGCTTCATTTGCCTAATCTTCCCTCAAGGAAGTTATTCCGGTGTGAACACGATCTGCTCTTAGTTCCATGGGGGTACTAAGTGCTGGGAACTAAGTACGGCAAATTACTTGGTGTGAAAGCGGCTAATAAATACAAGTTACATGCGACAAAGTACAAAGCTAAAGACTTATTTTAAAGTGCTAAAAAGTATAGGAAATAGTCAGTTGTACATCCTGGTTTTCCACTGACCACTTATACAAGTACAATCAAAACACATAAGCAGAGGTGGGAGAAGTACTCAGATCTTGTATTTGAGTAAAAGTAGAAGTACCAGAGTGTAAGAATACTCTGTTACAGTAAAAGTCCTGCATACAAAATGTTACTAAAGTAAAAGTGCAAAAGTATTAGCATCAAAATATACTTAAAATACCAAAAGTAAAAGTAGTCATTGTGCAGATTGGTGCATTTCAGAATAATATGATGTTTTATAATGATTGATCATGAAAGTGTTCTCAAAGCTGGTAAAGGCAGCTAGTTTGAATGACTTTGTATACTGCAGGGTAGCTTGTGAATTTACTCCAGGTGGAACTAAAGTCAGATTTAACACTTGATTATATTTCACATCATTCATCCACATCTATAAAGTAACTAAAGGTATACGACTTAAATGTAGTGGAGTAAAAGTACACCATTTACCTCTGAATTGTAAAGGGTAGAAGTACAAAGTAACCTAAAATGGAAATGGTAAAGTGAAGTACAAGAACCTCGATATTGTACTTAAGCTACAGTACTTGAGTAGGCCTACATTCACTTAGAAACCTTACACCACTGGACATGAGCTATCCGAAGCTTTAGACCAGGGGTGTCCAAACTTTTTTCACTGAGGGCCACATCCAGAAAAAGATATGAAGGGCTGGGCCGCTCACTAGAGGTGAGGTGTATCGCGTTATCAGTTCAGTTATAAGCGTTACTGTAACGTCGTTATTTTTGGCAGTAACTAGTACTCTAACGCATTACTTTTTTAATTCAGTACTGTAACTCAGTTACCGTTACTACATGGTGCGTTACTCCGTTACTGCGTTAGTTTTTTTATATAGTCAACAGCCAGGCGAACAGAGATGAGAACTGTACTTAAGTACAGTACTTGAGTAAATGTACTTAAATACTTCCTGTGTCACATGCGGAGACGGGCTGTGGGCGTGTTTGCGTTGTTTACTAACAAGACTATCATGGCGGCGGCGGAGCTCAAGTCTAGTTTCTCCACCTAGAGATATTCTCACTATTTCACTTTTGTCGAGCACAAAGAAAAGAAAGTTTCTGTTTAATGTAAGTTGTGTCCTGGCGGGTCAAAGAGCCTATCTACTGCCCAAACCAGTAATTCAAATCTCTTAAAACATCTGCAAAAACAACATGCTGGGACGAAGCTAGTAACTAAGACCGGCACAGACCCAGACTCATCCAACGCCTCTCCACCTCCACCTAAGCAACAGCGGCTGGATTTTAACCAAGGGACTGCTGGCCAGGGAAAAGTCGATAAAGCCATTGCACGGTATGTTGTAGAACACATGCAGGCTATTGCTACAGTGGAGTCACCCGCTTTCAGGGAGCTAGTTAGCATGATAGCATGTCCGGGCGGCACACGGCATATGGGACGGAAAACTTTTTCCAACTACCTGGAGAAAGAATATATAAAAATGGAAAGCCAGCTAATATCGATGCAATCCAGATTGCATATAATGCATGTCAAGTTGATCAACAGATTGTATTATTCTCCAATGCAATAACAGTACTGAAATGAAGGCTATAAGGGCATTAATGGGAGTCCTTTTTTTAAGTAAAAAAAAAGTTACTTTTTACAGTAACGCATTACTTTTTGGGTGTAAGTAACTGAGTTACTTTTTAAATGAAGTAACTAGTAATGGTAACTAGTTACTGGTTTTCAGTAACTAGCACAACACTTGTTATAAGTAGGGTTGGGAACCGAAACTCGGTTCCAGATGAGAACCCATACAAATACCCATACACAATACACAATTTCGGTTCTGCTTAACGGTTCCTAAACGCGGTAGACCCTGTATTCCACCGGGTCTGTCTGCGCCGCGGTGACCCGGTGGAATACAGCCAGGGTAAGGGAGGACTGGCCATCTGTGTATTCTGGAGAATCACAGAACGGCCGGTCGTCAGCGGGCCGTTGACGGCCGGCTCGGTACGCTGACGGCCGGCACCGCCCTTAATTTTTTAAAACGGCATCATGTAAATTGCGCTGACAGAGGTCCACAGTTTTCCCGCAGCGAGGCTCCCCCCGCCCTCCCGTAGACAGTTCACGAGCTCAGTCACTTCATAACACCAAAGATGGATCGCGGTAAACACTCTAAAATGATGCTCCACTACACTAAAAAATAAAAAGACAAGGCACAGTGTAATGCCTGTTAATAGCTTGCCACAGGCATAGCTCCGTTAAAATAAAGCACAGCTATTGTGCAATACATTTGTATTGCATGTATATTCTTTATTTGTAAAAATGTCAGTTAAAGCTTAAAAAAATAAAGATAATTTTGTTATCTAAACGTTTGACCTCTTTCTTTTACAATTTTGGAATCGAAACGGGGAATCGATAAGAACCGGAATCGATAAGCAGAACCGGAATCGGAATGATACATTTCAAACGATACCCATCCCTAGTTATAAGTTAGCAAAATCAATCAAAGGTAAATAATGCTTTATACTTGAAAATGAAACTGCCTACATCACAGCTTTCCATAGGGTTTCATTCATTGTGTTAGCAGCTCATTCCCTAAAACAGAAAGAGGAAATATGAACGGTGTATTTCAAGCTTGTTATGTTATTAAGTCATTGGACTTTTATCAACTAAGATTTGTTTGAGAATGTTTCCAAACTTTAAATATATTTGAAAAGTGGGCTTTTTAACACATGAATGTGTGTTATATATGTGTAATATATATATTTAAGAAATACAATATATGACAATCACAAGTTTAATTTTGTGGGCCATATTTCATTATACTTTTGGAATTAGCTGAGGGCCCCGGGCCGTATTTGGCCCCCCGGGCCGTAGTTTGGACACCCCTGCTTTAGACAAACCCAGACAGCCAGAAAACTGTAGAAATAGCTACAAATTCACAAAATAAGTTTTAATAAAGTGCAGAGTGCCACTGACCTGGCTGATGTTTCCCCCGGCGAGGCCCACCAGAGTGGGGAACCAGTCGGTGATGTGCAGCAGAGCTTTGGACACCCGTCTCCTGCGTCTCAACAGCGGGCTGTGGACAAACGCCACTCCACGAACTCCCCCTTCCCAATATGTGCCCTAAAAACACTGCCAGGTTATATTCTCATGCAAGTTGTTATGTACATTTGTTAACCCCTCTTTGTTTGACACAGAAAGGACAAAAAACCAGACTAAACGTCTAAGGTCCCTCATCCAAAAACTGCTGAATTAATTCAATAATGTAACCGTGGCAGTTCTTAGATCTTTTTCTAAAACTGGGGCAGAAAACAAAGGTGCTTCTTGTTACCATAATGACAGGGTCATCAGTAACTCACTTTCAGCTCTACACGACATGTTAGATTTAGCATGTCCTCAACAACTTGAATAGTTTACATGTAAATAAGCCAGCAAGTCTTCTCAGCGTCAACGTCAAGCAGTAAGACTCCTCTCCTTTGGAATCGTCTTCTATTTTAGATCTGCGAAGCTATTTCCGTTGACTCCTTTAAAAGCAAACTGAAAACCCATCTATTCGCATCTGTCTTCCTTGTAAACTAGCTTCCATCACTTAGTTTCCATCAACATTACATATGCTTTTATCCCATGGCAATACTTGTGTTGAGGTATAATGTTGTATAATGTTTTTATAATTGTTATGCTATGACGTTTGTATTTTGTTTGCTTTGTACAGCCCTTTGAGGCACTTCTTGTGATTTGGGGCTAGAATAAATGTTGATTTGATTTGACTCACGCACAACATACGTCATTTGGTACCTTTCGTCCTCGCAGCGGCCAGTTGCTGCCTCCTGTGAACGGTTGGGCTCCGTTGTCGGTGGAGTAGATGATGACGCTGTTCCTGTAGTATCCCAACTTCCTCAGGGCGTAGGTGACGTTTCGCACCGCCTCGTCCACCGTGGACACCATGGCGGCAAACTTCCTGCGGGCGACGTTAGCCATGTCCCGGTAGGGGTAGATGTAGGACTTTGGAGGCTGCAGAGGAGTGTGGACTGCCTGCAGGAAAATAATAACAACAGGGTATTTACACAAGTTCACTTTGAATTTTTTTTTAATTCATTTCTGGTGCAGAACTTAACATAATACATTCAAACAACAATGCGAAGTACACTATAATCATTACTATTATTTAAACTAGTGTAGTCAAATGTTTCATGGGAAATCTGTTAGTTATGATATGGGTTCATGTTTTTGTTTGTGGGAGGAAAAAGGGGCTAAAAGAGAAACATTTACAGAAATAAGAATCTGACTGTTTTTCTTAATATACATAAAAACTAAAATGTGTGAAATAAATAAAGGTTGCTTTAAAAAAAAGTAAATGCACAAAAGTGTTGAAAAAAGCCCACTCGTCTTAGTCAAATTAATAATTGATGTTTAAATTATTTTAAACTGTGATCAGCTTTTGTATCAGGGTATTATTTATTTCTATATTATGCAAGTGTTAAACTGTAAATTGATATTTTAAACTAGGTTATTTTGGATAAAATCCTATAATTTAGTGCAGCTAATCCACTTTACTCAACCTTTTATTTTCTCCATCTCTGTTGGTCATTTCCTACATTTCCCAGAATGCACCACAACACTTACTCATGATGCTTAAGTTTGAACTCAATGTTCTCTACTCCCTATGTGGAAACATGAAGTAAAACTCCCTTTGTTTAGCCTTTCCTTGTGAGGACAGATACTTCACATCCAATGAACATGAAATTAAATATACATAAATAAACAAATGTCATTTTTTTCTTTCTGTTGAAAGCCTTGTAAGTCACATTTCCATGCTTTAATCAAATGGTTTACAATGTTAGCTAAACAGTGTCTGCTCACAGATAAACAAACACTCTAAAGAGGCCATGTTATTGTCAAGTTTCAGACTCGCCACATCCAGACATAAGCCGGGATCAAAGCAAAAAAGGCTGTGTTGTATTTCACATATTCTCTGCAGTTTTCTGTCTCTCTTTTGGATTTGAAGGTGTTGTAATTCTGTGAAGCTGATTCTGACTTGTCCTAGTGATACCTGGAGGGAGAGCAGCAGGAAGAGCGGCCTCTCCGTGGGGTCGTGAGTCTCCAAGATCTTGCGGGCTCTCTGTGTGAAAAGCGTTGTGGAGTATTTCCCTTCCTGGCCCCACGCCACGCCCTCGTCCTCGTGGAGATCATACCCACAAACCCCGGGTCCGTCGCACGACCCGTAGCTGAGGACAGAGGGAGACACGTGAGTTAGGGCTAAGATACGATCATCATTTATTGTCAGATCAAGTCTGGGATGTTTCTTGCATCACATCCGCTCCATTTACAACATCAAACAAGGATGAATATTAAAGATCCCCTAATATACTCGTCACAGCAGCGTCACAAGTAACATGTAATGATAAAACAAGACTATGAGGGGCCAAATGACAGCTAACAAGATGTAAAAGTAGGATATTATATACATTAAGAGTGCAAGGAATAGCATATTACATTTTATATAAATGTAATATGTACAGTGTGAAGACAAGTCCAGTTATATCCAGTCATCAAAAGAGAAACCATGGAGCTGTGAGTACGTTAATCCGGGTTAAATGTGAACATAATAATCCTATAGCTGTACCTGTAGTAATCCACACTTCCTGTTAGAGATCCAAAGAAACTGTCAAAGCCCTTTCTGGTGGGCAGGCACGCCTTCCTGCAGGAGAGACAAAGAAAACGGATTTCTATCAAAGGTTCAAAGGGCTTTAAAGGTCTCCGATCATGCAAAATGCACTTTTTGATGTCTTTTATACATAAATGTGTGTCCCCGGTGCGTCAGGGAACTCACAAAGTGTCAGAAAACAAAACCCTCTCTTTTCCTCCGTACCCAAATCTCTAAAATGGGGGAACAATGGATCTGATCCAGATTTGCATCCATGCGGACCCACGGCACTATCAGAAACGTTGCACTCAGAAACAATGCACCAGGTGTTTTGGACGTAATATGGTCTTTGTTTACATTAGCAAGCATCGCTAACACTCAGAGCTAACCTGTACTGGAGAGAGTATATGTAAGAAAATCAGGATATATAAAGGTACTGACCCACCTTGTGGTAAACCCGCAAGAGATAAAGCATTTGAGGTAGGTTTTGAACATGATATGGTGTTTAATCACTGCAGCATTTAGCTGTATCTGGGTAGAATTCTCCCGCATAAGCTCCGCCCCCCTCTTTAAAAAAAAGAAGCTTTATACCCAGAATCAGCACTTTAGTAACAGGGCTGAAATAGAGGGGTATGAGGCATGGCTAGAATGGGTGATCTGTTTGGTATTTTGAGCAAAACACTTAATAGACATGTTTTTTATATATTTTTATATATTTGAGACCTATAATAATAATAGCTTGGATTTATATAGCGCCTTTCAAGGGACCTAAGGTCGCTTTACAAGTAATAGGGCAAAAACAAACATAACAAAACAAAAGTCAGAAAGACAAAACAACAGATCGATTAGGGGCCGAAAGCCTTGGCAAACAGATCGGTCTTGAGGGCCCTTTTGAAGGCGTCAAGTGTGGGGATGTTGCGAATCATCCGCAGGGAGAGCGTTCCAGAGGGTGGGGGCTGCCACACTGAAGGCTCTGTCCCCGAAGGTTCGCAGTTTGGTGCGGGGGGTGGTAAGCAGGCCAGAGTCTGAGGACCGCAGGTGGGGCATGTTGGTGAAGGATGTCCGATAGGTACTGGAGGGCAAGGGCATGGAGGGATTTGTAGGTAAGGAGGAGGACTTTGTAAAATATGCGGGACTTGACCGGCAACCAGTGTAGGTGGATGAGGATGGGAGTGATGTGCTGCCACGGCTTTGTGTGCGTGAGTACCCTAGCAGCACAGTTTTGGACATACTGGAGCCTGTCCAGGGTTTTGTTGGGAACCCCGAACAGGACACCATTGCAGTAGTCCAAGCGGGTGGTGACAAATGCATGCACTAGGGTTTCGGCAACCGACTCCGAGAGTGACGGTCGGAGTCTGGCAATGTTCCTTAGGTGGTAAAAGGCCGATTTGGTCACAGATTTGACAGATTTTGACTATAATATATGCCTACGAATTGCATCATAGGAGACCTTTAATATTGAGAAAGGACAGATGCTCCACATTACTCCACCTGTGAAGCACCATCTCACCTGTAGAAACCCAGGTGCCACTTGCCCACCATGTGAGTGGAGTACCCGGCCTCTCGGAGCCTCTGGGGCAGCGTGTCCATGTGAGCGGGCAGACAGCTGGGCTGGCTGGGTCTGATGATCGAGTGCTGCAGGCCTGTGTGGATCTGATATCTGGGAGAAAAACAACATTTGATTGGCTCTCTGACCGAGGAACATCCCACTTATCAAATATCCGTCCCCATAAGTGTCTCAGAATCAGAATTCCTTTATTAGTCTCGCAGTAACTGCAAAACGTGGCAAAGCAGGTTAAGAACAAGGCAGGTGATAATAAAGAATACGCTCACTCATATAGAGAACAACACATTAGTGATAACAGAATACACGTAAAGATTATTAAGTACACATCCATGGCTAACAAAGAAAAGCAGCGATTTAAACAAAGTTACATGGGTATCATATTAGGTGTTGAGACATTTAAAACAATGTCACTCGTTGAGCTCAATCATCGCCATAAGGCCAAATATGTCCAGCTTTCAGTTTCTAAAGAACGGAGGATTTTAAGATTATTTTTGTTTTATATTGGTCCGTGTTTGAAAGAGATTTTATAGTTTCAATGCTTGAGACAACGAGGTCACCCCGATTGATTTTACACTGGATTTATCTGAAATATGGAAACGTTGTTTTATGTAATATGGATGGCATTATATACTGTATGTGACGACCCCTGCCATGCTATCTCTTGTGGTGTGTGTGTGTTCCTTTAATGTTCTCCCCAACCTGATCTCACCAGAATGCGTGACTCCACCACGACTCCTTAACACCGCATTGCGTGGTGGAGTCACGAACTTTGCTACATTTACGTGTCTGCACCACGCAAACAACGCCAATGTAAAGTGAATGAGGCTTGTCGTGGTGCACACACGCATTTCTACAACGTCCTGCAGTGAGCTTTTATTCTATAAAACGTTTTTAAAATCTACTTTATAGCTTGTAGTAACTCACGGGAGGCTTCTTTCATTTTATTTGTATTCATAATAATTTGTATTTTTCGTCAGAATGTATTATGGCAACCCTGTCTCCTAAAAATTACGTTCCCACAGAACTAAATTGCATTACGTTTAGCTCGAAACGTATTTTAGCTAGAAACGTATTTTAGCTAGAAACGTATTTTCTCCCACGTTACGTTCGTTATGAACGTATCTCAAATACGTTTATTTTCTACATATGTTTTCCATTTATTGTCTTGCTTATGATAATGATAATAGTCATTTATAAATATCATTTTAGAGCACACATTTGAAATCACGCATTCTGGTGAGATCAGGTTGGTTCTCCCTTTGGTCTATCAGCTTTGATTGAGGACACCTGGCTGCCGGTGTTGTGTCAATTTATGCACCCCTGTCGTGAAATGCACCCCGTGACACGGGAACGCGCATTTGAATGTATAGTCCGCTATTCTATGTTGTCTTTTTGATGGTTGAGTCGTCGAATCCTGGATTTTGCATTCATTCGTCACTTATTTCTCAGTTAATTTTTTATTTAATATATGTTTTTATTTAATTGTGACGTCCTGTCTGTATACTTTTGCTTGTACTTGTGCTTTACAATGTATTGTTTATTTTTACATAAAGTGCTTGAGGGTGGGATTAATATAATACATTTTTATTTTGGGTGGTTCTTTCTATGAATAGCCTGGTTGCCACGATATGCACCCCTTGCTATCTCTGACAATAAACGTGTCACATACATGAAACTTGCTCCATTTATTGGTACTGGTCCTACAACTATACCCTCCAAAGTGCTTGAGGGTGGGATTAATAGAAGCATCTTTTTTTAGGGGGTGCTTTTTACGGCAGGCCAGGGATGTATGCAGTATGTATGCATGTTCTGAATCAGTCTTATATGTCTTAAATTATATGATTAATTGGAAATGGGGGACCCTGATGTAAACAAGACGAAAGTCTTTCTCTGGTCTGCATCCCCTTAACAATTGTATGTTTTGAGCTGTACTGTACTGTACCCAATATACAAGCTGTTAATAAACTTTTCAATCAATCAATCAATGAAACCGGCAGGTTTCTGGGAGTTTGTTCCAGATATTTGGAGCATAATAACTGAACGCTGCTTTAGTTCTGACTCTGGGGACAGAAAGCCGACCAGAAGACCTGAGAGTTAAGATAAGATAAGACTTTATTTATCCCGAAGGAAATTGTTGTGCCAGAGTTACAAAAATACAATAAACTCAGATGCATAATAATAAAACTGTACACCAACAGTGCAGTGAAAAGAGCAATTAAATATCTACAGGAAACATAGAAGGTCACATAATGAAGTAAATATTAACAGTATTTAGTAGTGCAAAAAACGTAGTGGCAGATACGTAATTGCACGTTATTATAGAACATTATTAATAATTAACAATAATGATATTGCACATGTGATATAGCAGCGAGTGTTTTGTAATGTAAGTAATGATATTTATATTGCACATTGGGTGGAAGTTCTCAGTTCCCTTAGTTCTGGGTGGTAAATAACTAATGAAGCTTAGCGCAAGTTCAACCAGGAAGACCATCTTTACTCATTCATTCACATGTTCCCATCTTACTACTCTCTCTCCTCTCAATCAGTGATCGGGGGCGTCACTCCCCAGCTAAACCTATCACTTCGCTCTATTCCCACAAGCCTATCATAGCGTATTGCTAAACCTTTAACCTGTTAAACCCCGAGCCTGTTTTTCAGGTTTCAGGCTCGAAAATGACATTCCCAGAACAAATGACTATAACTTTACTTCTAAAAGGTTTATATGAATAATTGTTGTTATCAAAGCAAGGTTACATCTGTGAGTTGGATGTAGAAGTGTCAGAATCAATATAGATTTTTCTGTGTCAGAGTAAATTCAGATGGAACATAGCAAAAAAATATAAATTCCTGTCTCCGCCTAAAGAAAACCCATTACTTATAGTGAAGACCAACCTTGAATGATGGGTTAGTAGCCTAAAAGCTTTAGGAATCCAAAGTATAACATATAATAAGTACCCTGTATCAAGATTGAGGCAAAACAAGTGACATTTGATCTTTTTAGAGAGGTTTATGAAAATAAAGTCCAGGCGGAATAAGCTTTGGGCACATTTGGTTCCATCAGTGCCATTTGACCTTTTTCAGGTACCAGACTATACAAATCATTGTATTACATTGAATCATCACTATAGGTATTCATTCCATCCAAAAAACAAAAAACAAAAATAATAATAATTTAAATTTATTTTTTATTTTAAAATATTTTTGTGTGTGTGAGTGAGTGTGTGTAGGTGTGTACGTGTAAGTGTAGCTGTGTGGGTATGTGTAGGTGTGTAAGTGTAGCTGTGTGGGTATGTGTAGGTGTGTATGTGTAAGTGTAGCTGTGTGTATGTAACTGTACCAACACACTATACAATAAAACCACACTGTAGGTCATTGTGTGTAGGTGTACTTGCACAATAAAAAAAAACGGAAACATAGGTAACATTTGACTCCAACTGGGGCAGATTTATTTCAAACATTTTACCAACACACTATAGGCATGTAAAAACAAACATTTTACCAACGTACTATACAATAAAACCACACTGTAGGTTTGTAAAAACAACAAATATTTTACCAACACACTATACAATAAAATCACACTAGGTATATAAAAACAACAAGTATTTTTTTTTTAAATAAACACTCGCAAAACGTTATACCTACCTGAACTTTATACCTACCTGAATGTTCCAGTATTTAGGTCGTGCCACTCCCTGAAACAGTTCTTTTTGACAGTGAAGCATAGAGGGACCTGGCACTTCCTGCAGTACACAGGTGTCTTCACCCTTTTGAGTCCAGCATCTAGGCACCTCCTGCAGTTCTTCCTGACCTTGGTGGCATCTTCCCCATAATACTCGGGCATGCATGTGAGTGGTGGAGGAGGGGGTGGTGGAGGTGCAGGGCCTTCAGCAGGGCCTTCAGCAAACTCCAACAATTCTACAGCAAGCTGCTCCCTGAAAGTCTTCTGGGTGTGTGGCTTTGTCCTGCTGGGGTCACTCCTCATCTAACAAATGTGGAAAAACAAAGAGATTAGATTAATTCACTGGCTTATACTTATAGGATAATATTAGACTATAAATGAATAATATTACACCAAATAAATAAGTAAACACATGTATATTCATTCACTGGCCATTCATTTAGAAAATGTAACTTCAAAAAGACAAGTAACACTATTTAGCATTTTGCCTAATCATTCCTGTAGCTTCTTGGCTAAGCTAGCACTGTGACGCAGTTCCACCAAACACATAAGTAATATATAAAAACAGAGAGATTACATGCCTTTCCCGTGGTGGAAGTTCAACATCCGAGTCACTACTGTCCGGATCCAGGTCTGGCTGGAGGAGATCTTCATCATCCGACGAAGAGTCATCTGGTATGATCATAGCCCCGCTATCGTCAGCTAGCATCTCTAGCACCTGCTCGCCTCGGTGGTGAAGCTCTCCCTTCTGGCTGCGTAATGCGTTATGGAGCCGGAGCGGGCGTAGTTTATACTACGCAGGATCATATCTTTGGAACCCATTGGTCGATTTGGGTGATTGACACCTTTTCTGAACCGTTAGAGCCAATAGAATCGAGTGACAGTTAGTAAGTCCCGCTAAACACTTACGTCAAGTAGAGAGAGGTTTGCGTAAACAGCACATGAGACAGCATTAGCTCGGGACTGCGAAACTTTATACCTACTCTGCTGCCATGAATGTAATGATAGATTATCAGGAACAATTCTAAAGTGACTAAGAGACATTGGATTAACCTTAAACAGCGTTTGTATTCCCTTGAACACGAGCTTTGATCACAAAACAGCAACGGTAAGACATATTTATTGTTATGGTTTTGAAAACTGTTGTTTTTTCTTCTTCTCTGTTCTGGCTGTTAGCTCAGTGAGTTTGTGTCCTACAGTGATGATACTTATAACAAAATAATCTGTGGAGTATCAGCTTTCAGATGATATGTAGTTTGTGCAGAAAATATTAAGTTTTAAAGATCGTTTTTGCTAGTTAGCACCGGAAGTAGCATCTGCCCGTTTTAGCTAAGGGCTAATGCTAACGCTTCTTGTGAGACTTGTGTTTTGTTTCGGTAAAAATGGTTCGTATCGTCAGTTAGCTGAGATTCTTCTCGTTAATCTGGTATAACACATTAATAGGTTTTTAAATATTAAGATGCCCTGAGACACAGTGTCGTGAAAAAAAAACCCAGGGTCCCCGCCGGCGGGGACCTTCGGGCTTAACAGGTTAAATCTGCTCTCTCCCCTTCCTCACACAGTTGTCATTTCAGGCGACTCAACGCAGCCCTCCTCCCCCCCTTCCACCTTGCTTTCTTCCAAATCCAGGGTCAAGCTTAAACCACTCCACTTCAGACCGACCTCCATCAATCCCTTCATGCCTTCACCAGCACCAGTGTCTAGATCCCAGAGGGGGAATCATCGGCTCGGGTTTCCCCTCCCGAGTGATACTCCCGCACAACGGGGTCTAATCGCTAAACACCATTACATGCATCTGTGTTTTCCTGGCAATAAATATATATTGAAACATTGCAAAACTTGTATCTCCTGATTGAAATAAACGAATACGACGTCATGCAGGAAGCCCCTGAAAACCCTGCTAACCTGCCGGTGAGCAGCTGGCTGCGCGACGGCGTGCAGATCGGCTGCACGTAGTAATTCTCCAGAGTCACGCCCTCCGCCGCCAGCTTGTCCAGAGTGGGGGTCTTGATGGTCGGGTTGTGGTAGCCGATGTCGTTGAAGCCCTGTGTTGAATTATTCAGATTGAGATGATTTACACTGAGCATTTGGACTATCCATCTGTAGGGACAAATTAACGGTTTGAATACTACTTGGGAAAGTCCTTTTTTTTAACTAAACTAAACTCAAAAAGCAAGGACATTTGTGTTTGGTAGATGATTTCTTTGTTGCAAGAATTCTTCTTGGTAATGAATCTTATACCGTTGGAAAGCCTGTGTATTTCCCTTTTTAAATGGTGCTACATTTGTGAGGAACATGCATTTGTGGGATGAGCAGCAGAGCGGATATGTGGGTGTCAAACAGCTTTTTTTTGCTGTTGCTATTGACTCTTGTTTTGAGCTTCTTATGCTTATACCGTTTTTCATCAATATATTACAGGTCTCAGATATATACAAAACATGTCTCTGAAGTGTTTGGTTCCAAACACCAAACAGATCATTGCAGCATTACCCATAATCCCCTCTGTTTCAGCCTTGTTTCCAAAGTGCTAATTCTCTGTCTGTGTTGTGTCCCGTCAATTATGTTGTATGTGAAAGCTGAAAAGTGCGACTTCCATGCAACCACTGTCTCCTTTCTGGGCTATATTGTCACCGCCAATCAGGTGCAGATGGATCCATCCAAGGTCAGTGCGGTGGCCAACTGGCCCACTCTTGATAGCAGCAAAAAGGTTCAGCAATTCCTGGGGTTTGCCAACTTTTATCGGAAGTTTATACGCAACTTCAGTTCTGTAGCCGCACCTTTGCATGCTCTCACCTCCTCTAAAGTCTCCTTTCAGTGGACTTCCCAGGCCGAGTCCGCCTTCCAATGCCTCAAGAAGAGATTCACCACGGCACCTGTACTCACTGTTCCGGATCCCCAGAGACAGTTTGTGGTTGAAGTTGACGCATCCAACGAGGGCATCGGGGCTGTGTTGTCCCAGAGATCCTCCGAGGATAACAGGATGCACCCCTGTGCCTATCTATCGCGTAAGTTGACCTCAGCTGAAAAAAATTATGATGTGGGGAACAAGGAGTTACTAGCTGTCAAAGCAGCTTTGGAGGAGTGGAGACACTGGCTAGAAGGGGCGGAGCAACCATTTCTTGTTTGGACTGACCACAATAATTTAGTATATGTTAGGAAAGCCAAGCGACTAAATTCACGTCAGTGGACGCTGTTCTTCAGCAGATTTAACTTCATATTGTCTTTTCGGCCCGGTACACAAAACCGTAAGCCAGACACACTGTCTCGTCTCTTTGAGCCTGAACATAATGCCAAGGAAACAGTATCAATCCTTCCACTGAACTGTGTGTTTGGGTCGGTAACATGGCAGATAGAAACAGATGTGAAGCAGGCGAATGTTGTGAGCCCGGCACCCAGCGAGTGTCCAGGCAACCGCTTGTTTGTCCCTGTGTCTTTACACTCTCAGGTAATCCACTGGGCTCACACGTCCAAGTTCACATGCCATCCGGGCGTCCGACGAACAATGTTTGCCATAAAACAGCGGTTCTGGTGGCCGGCCATGAAAAAAGAGGTCTCCGGGTACGTGGCGGCCTGTCCAGTGTGTGCCCGGAATAAGACCTCGTCCCGGGCCCAGATGGGTCTTCTCCAGCCCCTCCCAGTGCCTCAGCGACCATGGTCGCACATCTCCATGGACTTTGTGACTGGACTACCGCCCTCCAAAGGTAACACTACCGTCCTGACGGTGGTAGACCGTTTCTCAAAGATGGCACATTTCATTCCTCTGCTCAAACTTCCCTCTGCCAAGAAGACGGCAGAGGTCATGTTAACTCACATGTTCAGAATCCATGGTTTCCCCAGTGACATAGTTTCCGACAGAGGACCACAGTTCATTTCCAACTTCTGGAAGGAGTGTTGCCAGCTCCTCGGCGCCACCGTCAGCTTATTTTCCGGTTACCACCCGCAGTCCAACGGTCAGACAGAGCGCCTGAACCAAGACCTCGAAACATGCCTCAGGTGCCTCGTGTCCCAGAAGCAGACCACTTGGAGCGATCACCTTACCTGGATAGAGTATGCCCACAACACTCTCCCCTCGGCTGCCACGGGTCTTTCCCCTTTCCAGTGTGCTAATGGGTACCAGCCTCCTCTCTTCCCTGCTAATGAGGAAGAAGTCAAGGTTCCATCCGCGCATGCCCTCGGCATGCGCTACTCCGGACCTCGACCCGGATTAAGTCAGCGGCGGATCGTCACCGGCGTGCGGCTCCCCTCTACAGGGCGGGCCAGAAAGTCTGGCTCTCCACCAAGGATCTACCCCTACACGTTCACTCCAAGAAGTTGGCACCGAGGTTTGTGGGTCCTTTCCCAATTTCAAGAGTCATTAACCCTGTCTCTGTGCGCCTCAAACTCCCCAGATCTTTGAGGGTCCATCCCACGTTTCACGTGAGCAAACTCAAGCCAGTTCGAGAGAGCACTCTGGTTCCCGCCTCCAAGCCCCCTCCACCACCCCGGATCATTGAAGGTGGCCCGGTGTACACAGTCAGGAGACTTCTGGCGGTCGCAAACGGGGCCGAGGACGACAATTCTTGGTTGATTGGGAGGGTTACGGCACTGAGGAACGTTTGTGGGTCTCCTCAACGTTCATTGTGGACAAGACACTCATCAGTGACTTCTATGATCGTCACCCTGAGCAGCCTGGGCCGTCAGGAGTCGGCCCTAGAAGGGGGGGTACTGTTGTGTCCCGTTAATTATGTTAAGTTTTGTCATGTTAGTTTAGTTTATGTTCCACTTCCTGTTGTATTTTGTACTCACCTTGTCTCATTCCAGGTCCCTTTACTTCCTGCTCTGGTTCCTTTTCCCGCCATCATCAGTGTCTGCCCCGCCCCTGATTGTTTCCACCTGTGCCCACTTACCTCATGTATATATTGTCCTGTCTCCCCTTGTTAGTTGTCGGTTCGTCTTGTTCATTGTTCAAGAAGTAAGATCTAAGCCATTGTTTAATGAAAGTCAGTGTTTTGCCTTTTACCCTCCACGAGAGCGCTTTACGTTTGTCAGTTTGTTCATTCCTCTAAAAGAGTGATTTTGTTTTTTGCTAGTAAAGACTATTTTTTCTTCAAAACCTTTTTGTCTCTGGGTCGTGCATTTGAGTCCTCCAAGCTATTGAGTCAAGGTTCCTAACAGTCTGTTACTTTAGATGAAAATAAGGAGCCCCTCCCCACGCCCCTCTGAGAGAGATTTGGTTACAAAGAACTCAATGGTGCTCTAGGAGGAGATTCAGGTAATAAGGGGGGGGGGGGTTACCTTGGTTGCTGATTGGCTAATGGTTACACAAGACAAAAAATCGTTGTGACATCATAAAGTGGCCAAAATCTGTTCAGCTCATTTTCAGACAGGTTTTTATAGAAATGGATCAGGACAAAAAGAGAGAGAATCTTTGTTCCTGAAACTTTCAGAGTCTCTTTCCACAGAGGAGACACATGTTGATGTAGAAGAGACATGAAGAAGAGGGGACACATGTTGATGTAGAAGAGACATGAAGAAGAGGGGACACATGTTGATGTAGAAGAGACATGAAGAAGAGGGGACACATGTTGATGTAGAAGAGACGTGAAGAAGAGGGGACACATGTTGATGTAGAAGAGACGTGAAGAAGAGGGGACACATGTTGATGTAGAAGAGACGTGAAGAAGAGGGGACACATGTTGATGTAGAAGAGACATGAAGAAGAGGGGACACATGTTGATGTAGAAAAGACGTGAAGAAGAGGGGACACATGTTCATGTAGAAAAGACGTGAAGAAGAGGGGACACATGTTGATGTAGAAAAGACGTGAAGAAGAGGGGACACATGTTGATGTAGAGGAGACATGAAAACGTGGATTTAGCATAATAGGTGACCTTTAAATGAATAAATTGCCAATATGTCTTGTTTCATCAAACTTATATTTTTCTGCATGGAGCAGCAATTGATCTGTTTCCCTCCCGCTCATGCAGAAGGCTACCAGACTTTGTTTTTTGTACCTTCTTGTGTAACATTTAGTTTTGTTTTATGTGAGAAGGGAACAAAATGACCATGTTGCAACATCAGCATCATCTGGCCGTTTTATTGGAAGCATGCATCATTACTCGACTTCTCAAAAGGAGCTGTTTATGACTTACAAATAGTCACTCATAAAACCTGAGACTTTATAAGGCTGATGCTGATGGGGCTGATTTAAATCAATACCTTCAGTTTATGATGTGAATTATAATCAAGTGTTAAATCAGACTTTAGTTCCACCTGGAGTAAATCCACAAGCTACCCTGCAGTATACAAAGTCCTTCAAACTAGCTGCACCTTCACCAGCTTTGAGAACACTTTCATGATCAATCATTATAAAACATATCATATATATTATTCTGAAATGGACCAATCTGCACAATGACTACTTTTACTTTTTGGTACTTCAAGTATATTTGAACGCTAATGCTTTTGTACTTTTACTCGTAACAGAGTATTCTTACACTCTGGTACTTCTACTTTTACTCAAGTACAAGATCTGAGTCCTTCTCCCACCTCTGGTTATAGGAGTTAATTGCTTTCCAAGCATCTGATTTGAGACATTTACACACACACACACACACACACACACACACACACACACACACACACACACACACACACACACACACACACACACACACACACACACACACACACACACACACACACACACACACACACACACACACACACACACACACACACACACACACACACACACACACACACCTGGTCGTCTATGAGGATAAAGATGATGTGCGGCTGGTTCTTCTTCTTCTTTGGTTCCGCCTCATCTGTACGGTTGTTTCTGTCGGTCTGGTTCTGGTTCGGTTTGGCCCGGTCTGCAGACAGTTGGTCGACGCGGCAGAAAACACTCAGCACAGCGAGAGCCACGGCGACGGCGGCGGCAGCGTGCATCTTCACTGCAGGGAACAACAGAAACCTCAACAACAGAAACAGGACTTCCACCAAACAAAACACCAGGGGAGTAAAGCTCTGAGTCGGCACACATTCACACGCACATGCCATCGCTGGAGACTCAGCTTGGATCATAAAACCACATTTATAATGGACATCTGAACCACATCAATCTGCTGCAAGAAACCGAGGAGGTCTTTCACCATATCATCTTTGGAATTGTATAAAGACAATAATTTACGATGAAAATATAAGTTGTGTCTGAGAGAGCAGAAACTCTGAATGTGACTTTGGTGCAGCACGGACAATATCCTCTATTACTGTACTTACAGTTGCAAGAAAAAGTGAACCCTTTGGAATGACCTGGATTTCTGCATAAGTTGGTCATAAAATGTGTTCTGATCTTCATCTAAGTCACAACAATAGACAAACACAGTCTGCTTAAACTAATACCACACAAACAATTATATGTTTTTATTGAACACACCATGTAAACATTCACAGTGCAGGGTGGAACAAGTATGTGAACCCCTCGGCTAAAGACTTCTTCAAGAGCTACTTGGAGTCAGGAGTCAGCCAACCTGGAGTCCATCAATGAGACGAGATTGGAGGTGTTGGTTAAAGCTGCCCTGCCCTATCAAAAATACACACCAGTTTTGAATTAGCTATTCTTAAGAAGCATTGCCAGATGTGAACCATGCCTCGCACAGAAGAGCTCTCAGAAGACCTACGATTAAGAATTGTTCACTTGCATAAAGCTGGAAAGGGTTACAAAGGTATCTCTGAAAGCCTTGATGTTCATCAGTCCACGGTAAGACAAGTTGTCTATACATGGAGAAAGGTCAGCACTGTTGCTACTCTCCCTAGGAGTGGCCGTCCTGTAAAGATGACTGCAAGAGCACAGCGCAGAATGCTCAATGAGGTGAAGAAGAATCCTAGAGTGTCAGCTAGAGACTTAAAGAAATCTCTGGCACATGCTAACATCTCTGTTGACGAATCTACGATACGTAAAACACTGAACAAGAATGAAGTTCATGGGAGGACACCACGGAGGACACCACGGAGGAAGCCACTGCTGTCCAGAAAAAACATTGCTGCACGTTTGAAGTTTGCAAAAGAGCACCTGGATGTTCCACAGCACTACTGGCAACATATTCTGTGGACAGATGAAACCAAAGTTGAGTTGTTTGGAAGGAACACACAACGCTATGTGTGGAGAATCCAAAGGGTTCACATACTTTTTCTTGCAACTGTATGTGTGGTTATATTGAATATGGGCCATGTTTCAGAGTTTACACTGAACTTAACTTCATGTTAGCGGCATTAGGAGCAGGAGTGCTGTCATTGGCTGTAATTTAGTTCATTGATAAACCACTGGAGTATTGAGGTTTTCTTTATTGTTTGGTCGCCTTAATTAGAATTGTAAATAGCTTTTAGTTTAAGAGTCCTCTTATGTATTTGTTTGCTTTAACCAGAACCCAATATACTCTTTGTTGATTAGATAACTCTTTGTATGCCATTTGATATGAGTTTATTATTAAAACAACAATAATTGTACCAAGTACATCTGGTTATGTGTTGCGCCCATTTTTCCCAACCAGCTGGGACGTTACAACAGATTAAGTTACTTTATTTTTTTTAGAATCGTGTGAAAAACAAGGACCGGCATAAAGATATCTTGCTCATTGATTTGCAATTTTAAAAAGGAGACCTACCACAATTGAACTAGTCAGTTTTACGTGATCTAATGGTAAATATTGTCCAAACTCAAAATGTTTACTCGATTTAACTCGTTATATTAAGATGATATCTACACGCATATATATCTGCCTACTTATTTAGCACAAAGGTAATTTTGTCGCACACTTTTAATGTCGTGAAACTTAAAATACTCAGTTTTTGTCTGTATATTATTTTGTGTGTGTGTTGCAATGGATTTTAGAGCACACATTAAAGTCAAACTTGATGGATCTGCTAATGCTTTATTCAACAAATAAATTGACTTATTAACCAGCTTATTGGTCATAAATGTGAAAAATAACCTCAATAAGTTGTGAGCCAAAGTAAAACAACCTCAAATATACTACATTACATGTCATTAGACACTTTTGTCGAAAGCAACTTGACCACATTCAATACTGTGATCGATCCCCACAGGAGGCATTTGGGGTGAACTGTCTTATTCCCTTCGGATCCGAAGATCAGCGCCCGCACTATGCCACTGAGCCACAACCTCCCTAACATAATACCAGGAGTGGGGTTCGAACCCACGAGGGCTGATGCCCATTGGATCTTAAGTCCAACGCCTTAACCACTCGGCCATCCTGGTGTCATTTGCTATACTATATATACTTTAAAAGGACATGAACCAACATTTGAGATGCTTTTCTGTCAAAGATGTCTGCAGACCTTGTTCCAGCACAAGTGGACTGTGTTTTATTTTAGGATTTCACTTGTACTTTGACAGAACACACTGTGACAAAGTGACAACGGAGTTCAGACCTTAAAATGAAGCTAGTAATAGTCGGATCCTCAGCCCGTTTTTAGAAAGCCTCCCCAACAAACAGTGCATCCAGCAGCAAGTTTCCAGCAAACAAAAGGAGACAGAGGCGGTGTGTGTGATTTATTAAAGCCTGAATCACTGGCAGTGAGCAACACATGAAGGAATGCTGCCAGACGCTGCTCTCGCCTCTCAGAGAAGAAACCCTTGTTCCTCTGTAGATAAAACACACTGGCCATCTCCTCAGTGGTGGATGTAACAAAGTAAATGTACATGAAGTACTGACCCTACATACAAATCAAAGGAACATGTACTTCACTCGAGTATTCCCATTTTTTGAGGTTATAAACATGTAATGCTTGGTTATCAGTTAAACTACGGTACCTAGAAAATAATTAGAATACGATCAACTGAACTTTTACTTGTGACTGAGTATTTTTACTGTGAGGTAATAGTACCTTTCACTGTGAAGTATTAGTACTTTTACCGATGTTAAGGATCTGAATACTTCCTCCTCCACTGCCAGATGTTTCAGGGCTGATTCGCTGATTTTATAGGTATATTTTAAACTTAACCCTTTACTGTCTCTGAGAGCTGCAGTTGGACGTGCAGATTAGTGTTCTGTGAAGGAAACAGGAGGCAGATTGAACACATCTGTATAATCTAGGACATGCTTACACTACAGTCATGATGCACCGATGATTTCATATCCATGACAGTGACTAAAAGCAGCTGTGTGGCAAACATTACTACTGTACATGTTTCAGCTGGCTACCCCTTAGATAAGATACTGCTTTTCATGATAAAGGCACACATCTGTTCCCCGCTGCGTGTACTTTTCTGATTTACTATAGTACGGTAATTAAGTGAAATGTTAGATATTTGTACTTTACTTGAGTATTTCTATTTTATGCTACTTTGTACTTCTACTCCCCTACAAGTCACTGGTAAATCGTGTACTTCTACTCCACTACATGTATTTAATACCTTTAGTTACTTTACAGATGTGGATGAATGATGTGAAATATAATCAAGTGTTAAATCAGACTTAGTTCAACCTGGAGTAAATCCACCAGCTACCCTGCAGTATACAAAGTCATTAGCTGCACCTTTACCAGCTTTGAGAACACTTTCATGATCAATCATTATAAAACATATCACATTATTCTGAAATGGACCAATCTGCACAATCACTACTTCAACTATGTTGACGCTAATACTTTTGTACTTTTACTTGAGTAACATTTTGAATGAAGGACTTCTACAGAGTATTCCTACACTCTGGTACTTCTACTTTCTTTTAAGTACAAGATCTGAGTACTTCTCCCAGCTCTGCAGCTTTGCAAGCACAGACTGGTCCTGCATGAAATGGGGCTTGAAGTCTGCAGCATGTTATCAAGTTACTAAAGCACTGTAGTCCAATAACACAGTGCTTTCAGCCTCACATCACCGTTTGATCCAGGTGCAAACAGCTCCACACACATACATCTATTCCTCAATACAGCTGTGTTTTATGTCAAAGCCAGGCCTAAATCAATACCTCGATGTGATCAATGGGAGTGAACAGTTCTTCTTCCTCCCCCCTCCTCACCTCTTCCTCTCCTCAGTTCATTCTTCACTATTCGGGTCTTTCTTCAGCTGGCAGAGAGTTGAGTAAAGTTTGCAGAAGACGTCGCATGTCCTCAAGTTTCCACACAAACCCTTCCTTCCTTCCTTCAGTCTGAGAGTCCACACTCTCAATAATGAAATACGACCAAAGTCAAGTCAGACACAACACCTGGGGGTAACTTCCGGTGTGACCTGTCAAAATAAAACACACAACAGCAGAAGCTTTTTCAGGATCAGAATTCCTTTATTCGTCCCTCAAAGGGAACATTTACGTTGTTACAGCAAAGTATGGTGAAGAAAATAGAACACTATTATATAAAAAAGCATGCATATAGTATTTAAAATACAAATGATACAATTTACACTGCAGTGCTTCTCAAAGTGTGGTCCGCGGACCACTGGTGGTCCGTGAGCGCCCTCTAGTGGTCCGTGAGTATATTGGTAACATTTCACATTTGAAATTAATTAATCAATTTAAGTTTTCCGCACTCTCGCGGGAATATCTCCGCAATGGAGCGAGGTTAAGTTTCGATTGCATGATATAGCCCAGCGCAACACCTTCATCACACATGTTGCCACTTGTTTGTACCATTTTCAGGCGATTTGTAATCTGTTCTAGAAAAACGATGTGTTTTTTGATATTTGTGGAGTTAGGTGGTCTCGAGTGTTTTTTTATTGGTTAAGTGTCCTTGGTATGAACAAGTTTGAGAAACACTGAAGTAGGTAGTCCTTAGGTAAAAAGCATTGTAGCTACACATAATAATACAACCCTTGAATCTTGAATAGCAGTAGCATTTATACAATAAAATGAGTGTAGCACTGTAGAGTGAAGTGTGGCATGTAACATTAGTAAAATCATTATGGCACATAAAGAGTCTTGTTACAGTAATGGAGCTAACTAGGAGAAGCAGCAGTTGTAATAAAAACATATTGCACATAAGTGTTGTTGTAAAGTGGTGTCATATCTTTGTTCTTGTTTTTAAATGCTGTGTGTAGTTACTAAGCTACTTCAGTTTGTTGTATGATACTCTGGTTGTCAGTGGTGTAATGTAACTACTGAAAGTAATTGTACTTAAGTACTGTATCTGCCTGGCTTTCCACTTGTCATACCAACACTGCACATATTTTTATTCTATTTTATGTGTATGGGTACATCTATATTTTATTTATATTTAATGAACATTTTGTATATTTTAATGTTAGAAAATGTTTCTTTAATTAGTTTTTTTTATCATCATTTCGTTTTTATGGTCCTTTATACTTTTAGTTAATTGGATTTTGTGGGGAAATGTTGTACTGATTCTGCCTGAAGAAAACCTAATTGTAATCTTACAAGCAAAAATATCATCATATGTAAGGGGGCAGTAAATTAGAATCAGCCAAACCACTTAATAACATTGATTTTCCTATCGTGCCAGCTTTATTTTGAAGGCTGAAACGCTCAACATCCGGTAGGCTTGGTTTAATTGGTGTTAATTTGACCCAGGGGAAAATGGTGATGGCATTGTACTGCTTTAACGACAGTTCGCGTCTTTAATACGATCATTTGTTATCTTGTAATTGATGTCATCGTGTCGGACTCCCCTCTCTGCTGTAATCCCGGACAGATCCCCGGTCAAACGCTTTGACTGCAAGCTGAGAGGAACCGGAGGAGCCAGCTGGCATTCCGGAGCAAACCAGGAATTTCTCTCTTTACGCAACAAGCTGTGCAGAACTGCAAAAAGTCACAAGGAGATAAAGCAAAACGAGAACGGAAATTAGGATTCATAAAGAAATCAAGGCAATGCATTAATGGAAGGTGTTGCAAGACCAGAGTCAATTGAGTTATTATGGCAATATAAATCTTAAATCCCAGGCTCCTCCTCCAATGCAACATAAACATAAATAAGACATAAAACAATAAAAATAGAAGAAATAATGCAAGAAGAAACAGAGTAAAATCCATAAAAGCTCTAATTAGGCCATGTACCAATGGGAGGTGTCTGTTGCAAGCCTATTTAGAAAAAGGCAGCATGTGAGCTCTTTTTCATTCATGGCTTATCGGCTGTCTCTCTTAGCAGCATTTGGGATGTGACAAAAATAAAAATGTCGAGTTCTGAGAAAAAAGTCAAACTCAACCTTTTGTTGTTGTTGTCACATCCCAAAATGTGTCCTCGTGGCCCTAATCCTCTTCTGCACATACATATAAAAGTACCAACTTTAGTAACTCATATTTTGTGCGTGGTTGTGTTGGCTGCGTGGTGGTGGGAGAACACATGACACCAGAGATCAGGTCATGATGGTTTGGGTAAGGTAAGGCAAGGCAAGTTTATTTATATAGCACTTTTCATCACAAGGAAATTCAAAGTGCTTTACAAAAAATGAAAGAGATTAAGAAAATGGCATTTAAAATCAGTCATTAAAAAGAAAAGCTAATAAAATAAACATTAAAAGAAAAAATACATGGATCAAAGTTACAGTGCAGTCTAAGATATGAATAGTTCAATTAAAAGCAGCGACAAAAAGAAAAGTCTTCAGCCTGGATTTAAAAGTAGTAAGAGTTGCAGCGGACCTGCAGGTTTCTGGGTGGTGAAAACAACTACGAATCGTATTTGTTTCTTATGTGTTTTATAAGAAAAAGACAGGTTTGCAACTGGACTGACCCAAGGAGCTTCTACATGGGCTTTAACGGTGGGGTATGTAATTTATTTCAGAAACACTTTTTGTTATATTCCATGGAATGCTCTTAACATCCCGATAGCAATGAATACATGAAATGCTTTGACAATAAATACATAATTAAATGTCATCTGTGGAAGCCGTAGCGCTGTAAAAAGCACGACCAATCATCTGAGCCGGCTAAAGTAACTGGATGGCCTACCTGCCTGTCAGCCTTCCATCTGTGCACAAACTTATCTCGTGCCCTCATTGGTCATGTGCGCGTTCGTGTGTGTTGGAGGAGGGGCTCTGTAAGGAAGTGGCAGATTTGTTCCGGTTGTGTATTTTCAAATTCTACCGCACTCGAGCTGGTTTCTCCAAAATTACCTACCCCAGCTTTAAATGGGTACAGACAAATCAAATGTAACCAATGAAGGCAATACAATTACATGTATATTCTAATTCGAAATGTCCTAAAAGAGAAATGTTTATAATATCAGTTTTTTGCGATACTTAGAAAGACTGTTGGCTGAAATAAGAAAAAAAAAAACACCCCTGCACTCCGCTCATAATGGTACAGTCCCTTAGTTTAAAGCCCACTGAAAGTTGTCACTTCCGGGTTGGTAGTGTGGACCCCTAACTAGCAGCAGGTAAAATGTTGTCAATTAAAGTCAAGCATAGTTTGAGTTGATGGATAGGTTATTTAATCCACAATGTTAATAAAGCATACAGAAGTGACCAGAAAACACTTTAATCTGCAGGTTATGTTAGTATACTCACATGTGGTCACTATGCTAGCATAATTAGGACTACAGAACTAGGACTACATGGTAGAATAGAGTGACTAATAACACGGCAGAGACTAGATTGTGTCTAACCAGTGTGCAAATTACTCTTTTAGGAAACTATAACCATTGTAACAGTAGGTTATTCAGGTCAAAAGTCCTATTAAATGTTTCTGAAGTCAGACCTCTGAAATGTGATCTATCAAAAGAGGCAAATTAGCCATTAGCCTTATATCAAACCACTAGAAAGAACAACAACATGGATGGATAAGATGATGCCTAACAAATTAAATCTATTCAAACCTGTTTTAAGTTTCATCTAGAAAGAATACATTTCAACGATTTTATTCTAAATAATTGTAGTAACTGTAATTACGATCCACAATGTGCACCATAGACTGTATATCATATATATATATATATATATATATATATATATATATATATATATATATATATATATATATATATATATATATAAATAAATAAAGGGATGTGCACACATACAACTTGTTTGCATTGCTCTCAATATACTTACACATAAATAGACATAACAGCTAAGGATGAGGACAACAAGTATGCAGAAAACCATAGATGGGACCACAATGGTCACATGTATGTAATAAAATACGTTTATATAAATATATATTAAGCACACACAACAAAATAAGTGTTTCTAACTTGTAGACTACAAAAATAGAGCAAATAAATACATCATTTATATACATACTACATTTATATTGTGTATCCAATAAACCCATTCTATAGATTTATATCCTTCATTATTGAACGTATATTTACTGTTTTGCGTATTTTGTTTATCTTCTGCTGCTGATATGTATAGTTTTATTTTTATTGTATTGTATTTACCTTAAATTCATGTGCAATGTCTTATCTATGCTGCTGTGATGAAAACATTTCCCAAATCAGGATCAATAAACTATATCTTATCTTATAATGAATGGATACACATGGACAGGATGGGTAAGTAGATATGTAAAGATATCTGTAATATTTCTAAATACTATTTTCCATCATGATATTATCGTAAGATGTGTCAGTTGTCCGTTTAACATCATGTTAATAAAAATCAAATCCCAAAAACATGCTCTTGTTGTTGTTCTGCCCCCTAGCAAAAACGGCACTTCCCATGATGCATTTCGAAGGGGGCGTGTGTCAGAGGCTCATGGCTGCACTCTAAATAGCGAGCATGAAGTGAACTGTTAATAACATAATATAATATTCCAGTTTTTCGCTGGTTTCTCCGCCGTCAGTCGTACATAATGGCTTCAGAGGAAGACGCCACGCTGCTGTTCCTCATCTTCCAGCACCTCAAGGTGCACGGATACAAGAAAGCTGCCAAGGTGCTGGAGAAACACATTGCTCAGGTAGGTACTTTTACTCAGATTATTCAAAATTCACTGCTTTACTCAGTGTAAAACCGACCCTATCTGATTCTACCTCCCGCTGTGTCATTGTTCCTGATCATATTTACCATTGTTAATGCTATTTCTTTACCGAGCAGGTGCGTTTTGCATTATTTACATTAACTGAATTAAATATGTGATTTCAGTGTGCTTCTTGCTCCAGTGTTGCAGTGAGTGATTTTCAGGGCATCGTATGTATGTGTGAGTGTGTTTATGAGCACATGTGTGTCGCTGTTCAGGCCTCCTGAAGGAAAAGAACATAATGTTTCAGGAGCTGCATGGCTGTGAAAACAACGCTGCTGAGGGCCTGCTACTGCACAATGAGACCCATTCAGACCCCCTTACATGTTTGTGTTGATTAATGATTAAAGTTGTACATTTTGATATAAATGTGCTATAGCTGCATTGATGAGTCATTTTAATAAACGAGTTGATTGTAAGTTGATTAATTGGCAGGTAATAAACTATAATTCATACATTGTTCAGGTAATATTTCAAGCATAAAATGCCCAGAATTAGCTTGTCACATGTGTTTCTATTTTAAATATTTTAATTTCATATCAAGAAGCTGAATATCTTTGAGTTTAAGTCCTACAAGGAACTAAGGGAAAGTTTGATGCATTTCGTTCACTGTTTTCTGAAGGTTTATAGGCTGAACTACTAAATGATGTTGTTAAATTAACAATAATTAAAAGATAATAACAGTTATTGATTAATTAGCTGCAGCCCTAAAATGATCAGAGTGCACGTGGAGAGCCATGCTGCATCCACACACACCAAGAGGCTGTACCAAGAGCTAGTATATCGTCGTGTGTATTTTTCTGTAGGCTATATTATTAAAAACTGCAACATTTTAATGAAAACTTAATTTAAAATCAGACCAATTTATGCTTGGTAAGTTTTTAAACCCTTTTGTCGAGTCGCTGTGTTATTCTGTAATAATGTTTCCTACATAATGTCACTCTTATTGTGTTGCACTGAAATAAAGACAAATTACAAATATGTGTTATTTGTAAAGTCTGCCATCGAGACTCTTGGCTGGTCACAGGTTTCAGGTTTCAGGCCCACGGGCTAAAAATAAAGTCAAAAGTTTCTGCTGACAAAGTTTTAGGAAGACTACAATAGAGAAAAATGTCTAATCTCTCAAATTAAACCAACCACTGCTGTCAGAGGCATCGTTCCCCTGCTCATCATTGCATCTCCACTCACTCTCTTGCTGCCAGTTTTGTTTCTTGCTGCATGGATTCCTTTCCGGGAGCCTGTGGCTTTAAATTCCTGACCAACAGGAAATTAGCTTTCTCCAAGATGGGTTGAAGGGATATTGTCCAGCCACTCTTGATTATAGATGAGACATTCTTGGAACACGTTCTCTAAAAATATTTTGTGTTTGTTTAGGTGGAAACTCCAGAGGAGACCCCCAACCTTCATGAGATCTACTCAGGCTGGATGAAGTAAGTCCAACTTGTTACTACACATTCTGCAAGTAGGAGGAGTCCACCTTTTTCCTTTCACACTTTAACAGTTGATAGATTCAGGAGTAAAGCCCTAGCATGTCAAGAAAACAATACATATGTTTAAATCAACATTTTATCAAATGTCATTACATGTTTTAGATAAATTGATATACAGTCAATGGTTTATTTACACTGCATTCACATCAGTCATGAACATATTATACACAAATACTCCAATAGTGCCCAATAACTACATTAGATAAAAGGAAATTATGAGAAATGTTGTTAAGAATTCGGATAATATCAGGTAAAACGGACATGCTCGACGAGTGATCTGAAGGGCGATGGAAGAAGGACAGGAAAGAGACTTACTTAAAACAATACAATTAAAACGATCCGATAAAAACATTGTATCGTCAATACATGCAATGTCCTCATGGCACCGATTGCGTTAATTAAAAGTGTCTACATCACTGATCTGTTTATAAAAATGTAACTCGAGTCTGGACCGGATGTTACAATAATTGGAAAGAGAGGAGGAAGACGAAGAGAACATATTATTAAGGACAGGACAGAGGAGGAAGAAGACGAAGAGAAAATGTAAATTAGGACAGAGAGGAGGAAGAGTTGTGAAAGGAGGCACTGGTGATTGAGGGCCCCGTGTGTCCCGCTGAACTCACAGGGGTGTGTTGTTGGTGTCACCTCTGTGTTGGGCAAACCTGTTGGAATTTGCACTTTCTAGGGTCCTGTTAACAGCTGCTCTTCACTTCATATACATTATCTTTCTAACCCCACACCTTACATGGAGCTATTGGCCTCTATCCGACCTTCTAGTCTGTTTTCGTGGCTGTGCTTAGATGGCCAAAGCTCTTAATTCAGCTCCTTCAGAACAGCCTCAGCCCACAGGAAGTGAGCTATGTCTTTGAAACTAATTTCCGTAGAGGCCAAACTACAATTTCCTTGTGGGTCCGTGATGCCATTGGGCCCAAAAAGACTTTTCCCATTGACTTGCATTGGGAAAGAGACGTCTGTATATCATCGTTTTATTTTAACGTTAATCAACTACCCAGTCGGAACACTTCAATAGCCCTTTTCCAACATTACGTTCAAAAAGTTGTAAAATGTGCTTTTTTATTTTAGTTATTATTTGTATACCCGTAAATATTCCACGTGTAATATCTGTGTTTCTTCTTATTCTGTTCCTGCCATGACACTTGAATTTCCCTAGAGGCATAAATAAAGATCCATCTAATCTTATCTTAAAACTCAAACCCATAAATATTTACCCTCCTTAATTTATTTGGCTAAGCTGACACTGAATGAGAAGCTCCTGTGATGCAGCAGCTGTTTAAGGAAACGCAAAAGTGCATGCGTTATGATGCCGAAGATCCCCAGAAGACCTCAGGATTCTTGCTCTCTTCATTCAGTACTGTGCAACCTTTACAGGAACGAACGGTGCCCCACCCCCCAAAGCTGTATCCACTTCTGTTAATACATCCATGCCTTAAGCCCCATCAAAGTCTCCGGCTTCTTCCTATCAAAAAAGGCTTTGAGGTCCCCATTGATACAGGGTTAAACATATTTTCCTGGATCATTAGTCACGCTGTGCCTGACGCACTACCTATGTTGTAAATGTATTATCTTTTAAATTTACTCACACCTATTGCACATCTGAGCGTCCTGGGAGAGGGATCCTTCCTCTGTTGCTCTCCCTGAGGTTTCTTTCATTTTCCCCCATTAATAGTGGGGTTTCTTCAGCTGTCTTCATGGAGGGTCTAAGGACAGATGATACTGTATTCTGTACAAACTGTAAAGCCCCCTTTAGGGTTTTTGGGGGCTTGAACATGAGTAATATTCAGGGCCACACAGTAACCCCGCTGCGAGGCTCCGGCGAACAGTTCATGAGCGTGCTCACTAGCGCACCTCCCCCCCGTTCATAAAGTCAAGAACCACTCAAAAGGTACGGTTTATTTCATTTCAAGGATGCGCACCAAAAAACATCTCCAGGTGCTCCTTTGAGAACCAGGGCAAAACATTTATGTGCACCCCTGGTAAATCTTTACTTTACAGCGTTTTCCATTATCGTTGTATTTAATTACGGTGCTTTTTTTTCTCCGAATTACGGTTGTAGACTCCGAAGACAAGCATGCAGCTTTGGTGGATTGCAGATTTAAATCTGTCCCTTTGAACAGGATGTCCCTGTTCGTGAATGACCGCCTGGCCTTCTGCCCGGTGCATTCTGGGATTTAAATCCCTGCTGCTCTAAAACAGATTAAGCAGGCGGCAGATAAGTGATGAATGAATGAATGACATCATGTCTGTGATTTCCCCAGTGTGAATACAAGTCTATGACATTGGTCTGAATGTGAGACCAATGTTTATAATTCCCCTTTTCCTACAGCTGCTTTGAGGAGTTGAGGTTTCATTTCAGTTATAAAAATTGATTTGATGACACTTCTTTCTGCTCATCAGTCACATTCAAACACATTCCCGTGGTCAGCATAATTCACTCTGCTTGTGAACACCCTTCAGACTCTTTGAATTTCTCATCGTGACAGTCAGAAACATCTGTAGTTCTTGGCTGCTCGACTCATGATGGACTGATCCCCAGTCAGTTTTCTGCAGCGATGACGCAGGAAGCACTTTGATCTTGTTTTTAATTCTCAAGACATTTCCTTAAAGCACTTCACACCATTTTTCAGAAACTCCTTAACTTATACAAGACGAAAAACATGCCACAAGACGTGAGCTGTGCCTTCATGTCATTCTAATCATGTACAATATAATAAGGGTCACAATATGTCTGTTTTATCACTAAGTTCATAAAAAATGACATTCATGAAGACGGCAAAGTGTCTTTCTTTAGTTTGATAACTTTGTTTTCTAAGGTATTTTTGGAGCTGTTTTGCCAGAATCCACCATTTAAAAAAAAAAAAAAAAAAAAAAGTTCCAGCCGTAGGTTGCTCCTCCATTTCCTCTGTGCATTGCATTGTGGGAGAAAAGTATCTATCAACAGCAAACTCGATTTGGTCACTTTGCGTATACTAAAAAGCTGCTAAGGCAAGTTTATTTATATAGCACCTTTCAACACAAGGCAATTCAAAGTGCTACGAATGAGTTTGACGTATGGATTTGGATGGAGATGATAAGAAACACATGCATGTATGAGCATCCCTGTCTTTTAAATGACCGAAAGGTGTATTAACAAAAGTCCAGTATTAAAAGGAGATGTGTTTTTGTGTTATAGGCTGTACTCTCTAGCTCAGGATGCCAAGCAGGAGGCAGAAGACGGCGCTCATCTGAAGAAGAACGGCATCAAACCAGAACCTGCCACCAGCGAAGAAGAAGATGTCGCAGACGCCAAACTCAACAACATCACCCAGGAAAATCATGTGGATGCAAAACCTCCAGCTGGTACATTTGAAATACGTTGTAATGCAGCAGCCATCGCACACATTAACAAGTTGTAGCAGTGTCACACAGATGCTATGGAAGAAATGCCGCTTTATCTATTAGCTTTCTGGATTGCTCACGTTTGTACGAGGTGATGAAGCAGTGGGTACTTTTTTAGTAGAGATTTGTCTGTCGTTTTAGAATGTGTGTCATAACGGATCCATCGTCTTGTATCTGCAAACCAGATCTACCTATAAATGACCTGAAACTGGACCTATATTGTATACGTTTTAACCATAACCCCTTTTAAAAAGTGTCTTTTTTGTGTTGCTCCAGAGTCCAGGACAGACGTTAAGGAGTCTGCGGAGGTGCTCGGTGAGGAGAGAGAAGAGGAGTCGGTCTCTGAGCAGCTGCTACCTCCTGCAGGAGAAACAAAAACAACAGACCCAGAGAGTGAGGAAGGAGAAAAGAAAGAGGAGGAAACGATTGCAGAGGAACAGGTGAGCAGAGAAATGCACATATCGTGCATCATTAGACATGTATAGATATCGATTCATAATTATAGGGGCGGTGGTGGCGAAGTCGATAGGTTCAAGTCCCGGCAAGACCAAGTGCTACCGAGGTGTCCCTGAGCAAGGCACCGTTCCCTACACTGCTCCCCGGGCGCTGTTCAAAATGGCAGCACACTGCTCCTAACACTAGGATGGGTTAAATGCAGAGAAACAATTTCCCCACGAGGGATTAATAAAGTATATCAAATCAAATCAATTATCTTCTTTCATAACTGTATGTTAACCTCATTTAGTAGTTTTTTTTTAGTTATACTGTTACCTGGATTTTTCATTATCCTGTGTCTCTCTTATTGCTGCTCTGACACCTGCATTTCAAGGATTAATAAAGGTTGATTTTATCATAACAAACACATAACTACAGAGAGAAGTCAGCAGCAGCATGAAGTGACAGAAGCAGGCTTATTATTGGATGGTCCCCAGTTCAAATGCTGGCTTGAAGACTGCAAAAGAGGCCCTGTTATCCTATTAAGGGGTTTCTCTTTCCTGTAGTGTGTTATATAGGTTGCGCTTATATTGGCTGCCGCTCCAACACATTGTACCTGATAGGCTAAGGGGCGGGACATCTCTAAGCGGTTGACCAATCAGCAGTATGAGAAAAAATAAAGAGCTTTTTGAATATTAAGCATGAAGACATGGCACAGACAGTAGGGACACTACATACACATCAACTTAAACATGATGATATGATAAAGTGGCTACAGTTTGCTCTTCTAAAACTAAGTTAAAAATCCAAAGAGCTTTAAAAAAATCCACAATATATCATGTTATCTAATTAATGATAAACGATGATGGAGGAACAGAAAGAAGCGGTTAAAACAATGTTTCTGTAGCAGCCGGAAATCAGTACCCTCACAATAACACACATTCCCACACTCACACACACACACACACACACACACACACACACACACACACACACACACACACACACACACACACACACACACACACACACACACACACACACACACACATAGCTGTTGCCCAGTCACTGTGGTAATTGTAATGATAGATGGACAGAACCGTAAGTCCAGTGTTGTTTTAACCCTCTGAATTACACACACACTCATGTCATGGCTACTTGTCTCGTCTGAATCTGTTAGATTGTGTGCGTTTGTTATTTTAAGTCTGTGTGTGTGTGGCTGTGTTTCTGTGTGTGTATCAAAGTGTTGTCTCTGTTGTTTTCTGTCGGCCCAGTGAGGCAGTAGATAATGCTGTTTGGACGGAAACTGTGTGTGACAGAATGATAATCTTCTGAGATGTGTGTGTGTGTGTGTGTGTGGTTTTGTCTGTGTGTGTGTGTGTGTGTGTGTGTGTGTGTGTGTGTGTGTGTGTGTGTGTGTGTGTGTGTGTGTGTGTGTGTGTGTGTGTGTGTGTGTGTGTGTGTGTGTGTGTGTGTGTGTGTGTGTGTGGTGTGTGTGTGTGTGTGTGTGTGTGTGTGTGTGTGTGTGTGTGTGTGGTTTTGTCTGTGTGTGAATAACTCTGTGGTTTTAGCTACAAAGTCCTGATTACGTTTCATTGTGTTTGAAGATAAAGGAGTGGCTGTTTTTACACACTTTTCTGTCTCTGCTGAAGATGAGTGAAGCTCCGCACACTACAGTTCTCTTTCAACAGAATTACATTAAACACCAGACAGAGTTTATTATTTTTGTCCTTTATTGTTCAACGGATGGTCTGATAATATCCGGCCTGCATGCAGAGAGAATTTTACTACAATCTGAAAAACACATTTAACATCATATTTTTGTGATAGTTTGTCTTTTGATTTAAAGTTTCTCATTGTCAGCCAATTGGAGCCAGCCGGTACCTTGGAGCTCAATTATTGTCCAATAAGAAACAAGAAACTCATCAATGTGCTCGCTGACATGATCCTCTTTTACCATGAACACAGGCCTACATAAAAAAATGCACCAATAACATATTTATTTGTTCTCTTAGTTTGAGTATATTTTGCTAAAAAAAATGCAGTGCCTTTCCTTAATGGGGAAAGAATAAATGCCTGTATGCATTCATGACCAGTTATTAAAGATTCACATTCTGAGTAGGGAAGTCCGAAAGTATAAAGTAGAATATTGTCACTTTTTCCCCCTGCACATCTCTCGTTGTAATTAATTGGTTGTATTTTTTTTGTGTGACATTTTTGTCGTTTTTTATAATAGCTTTGTTTGCTCATGTTTTACAACTTTACAGAGTGACATCACTATGTAACACTCACACTTATATTGGATATCGCTCCAGCACATTGTGCGTGATAGGCTAAGGGGCGGGACATCTCTAAGCGGTTGACCAATTACAACAGCTAACCAATCAGAGCAGACTGGGCTCTGGTTTCAGACAGAGGGTGAAAAGAGGTGCTGCAGCACAGGCAGTATGAGAGGACTCTTTAAAGTAGAGACACTACATACTGATATACACCTGAACATCAGCAGGAGAGGACTCTTTAAAGTAGAGACACTACATACTGATATACACCTGAACATCAGCAGGAGAGGACTCTTTAAAGTAGAGACACTACATACTGATATAAACCTGAACATCAGCAGGAGAGGACTCTTTAAAGTAGAGACACTACATACTGATATAAACCTGAACATCAGCAGGAGAGGACTCTTTAAAGTAGAGACACTACATACTGATATACACCTGAACATCAGCAGGAGAGGACTCTTTAAAGTAGAGACACTACATACTGATATACACCTGAACATCAGCAGGAGAGGACTCTTTAAAGTAGAGACACTACATACTGATATACACCTGAACATCAGCAGGAGAGGACTCTTTAAAGTAGAGACACTACATACTGATATACACCTGAACATCAGCAGGAGAGGACTCTTTAAAGTAGAGACACTACATACTGATATACACCTGAACATCAGCAGGAGAGGACTCTTTAAAGTAGAGACACTACATACTGATATACACCTGAACATCAGCAGGAGAGGACTCTTTAAAGTAGAGACACTACATACTGATATACACCTGAACATCAGCAGGAGAGGACTCTTTAAAGTAGAGACACTACATACTGATATACACCTGAACATCAGCAGGAGAGGACTCTTTAAAAAGCAGCTTTCAAGTGTTTTTTTTTTTCTTTAAGCCTATTTTTTTAACCACCTACCTGTTCATGTTTGCAGTCAGCTCCAGTAGAAGAGGCACCTGAAGCGGCAGGGGAAGAGGTCGAGCCCAGAGCAGCGATCTGTGATCAGCCCGACGCAGCCCTGACCCCCGGAGAGGAGCAGAGGGAGACGCAGGTTAGTGACCCGGGATCAGAGAGGGCAGGAGTACACACATCCTTTACTCAAGTAGAAGTACAGATACTCGTGTTTTAAATACTTTGGTGAAAGTAGAAGTACTGACTAAACTTCTTTACTCAAGTAAAAGTAAAGAAGTATGGGCTTCGAGTAAAAAGTACCCATAACTAGCAGCTGTTTTAAAGAGTACCTGACCTCCCTTTATATTAATAGAACAATAATGTCATTGTTAGCTAATGAATGTTTCCATGCTGAACAACGGCAACATGACAACGTTTCCATTGGTCCCTCTTCTTTAGAGAAGACCAGGAAATGATGGATACACGGATCGTGTTCAAATCAATAGGCACGCAATGACTCTAAAGAATAATGATCACGCCACCAAACACACATTCAGACTAAAGGAACCAGCTGTTTGGAAAATGAGAGAAGTAGAAAGTTCAGGTATTTGAGTTCAACATGTAAGAAGTAGAAAGTACAGGTATTTGAGTTCAACATGTAAGAAGTAGAAAGTACAGGTATTTGAGTTCAACATGTAAGAAGTAGAAAGTACAGGTATTTGAGTTCAACATGTAAGAAGTAGAAAGTACAGGTATTTGGGTTCAACATGTAAGAAGTAGAAAGTACAGGTATTTGAGTTCAACATGTAAGAAGTAGAAAGTTCAGGTATTTGAATTCAACATGTAAGAAGTAGAAAGTACAGGTATTTGTGTTCAACATGTAAGAAGTAGAAAGTACAGGTATTTGGGTTCAAAATGTAAGAGGTAGAAAGTACAGGTATTTGGGTTCAACATGTAAGAAGTAGAAAGTACAGGTATTTGAGTTCAACATGTAAGAAGTAGAAAGTACAGGTATTTGGGTTCAACATGTAAGAAGTAGAAAGTACAGGTATTTGTGTTCAACATGTAAGAGGTAGAAAGTACAGGTATTTGGGTTCAACATGTAAGAAGTAGAAAGTACAGGTATTTGGGTTCAACATGTAAGAAGTAGAAAGTACAGGTATTTGGGTTCAAAATGTAAGAGGTAGAAAGTACAGGTATTTGTGTTCAACATGTAAGAAGTAGAAAGTACAGGTATTTGTGTTCAACATGTAAGAAGTAGAAAGTACAGGTATTTGTGTTCAACATGTAAGAAGTAGAAAGTACAGGTATTTGGGTTCAACATGTAAGAAGTAGAAAGTACAGGTATTTGGGTTCAACATGTAAGAAGTAGAAAGTACAGGTATTTGGGTTCAAAATGTAAGAGGTAGAAAGTACAGGTATTTGTGTTCAACATGTAAGAAGTAGAAAGTACAGGTATTTGTGTTCAACATGTAAGAAGTAGAAAGTACAGGTATTTGTGTTCAACATGTAAGAAGTAGAAAGTACAGGTATTTGAGTTCAACATGTAAGAAGTAGAAAGTACAGGTATTTGAGTTCAACATGTAAGAAGTAGAAAGTACAGGTATTTGGGTTCAACATGTAAGAAGTAGAAAGTACAGGTATTTGTGTTCAACATGTAAGAGGTAGAAAGTACAGGTATTTGTGTTCAACATGTAAGAAGTAGAAAGTACAGGTATTTGGGTTCAACATGTAAGAAGTAGAAAGTACAGGTATTTGAGTTCAACATGTAAGAAGTAGAAAGTACAGGTATTTGGGTTCACATGTAAGAAGTAGAAAGTACAGGTATTTGTGTTCAACATGTAAGAGGTAGAAAGTACAGGTATTTGAGTTCAACATGTAAGAAGTAGAAAGTACAGGTATTTGGGTTCAACATGTAAGAAGTAGAAAGTACAGGTATTTGGGTTCAACATGTAAGAAGTAGAAAGTACAGGTATTTGGGTTCAACATGTAAGAAGTAGAAAGTACAGGTATTTGAGTTCAACATGTAAGAAGTAGAAAATAAAAAGTCTTAGTGGAGTAAAGTACTGAAACCAGAAACATTTACTTAAGTATTTGTACTCCACTACTTCCCACATCTGCCTGGGATCAGTCACAGGTGTGTGAGAGTCTTACTCCAACAAACATCTATTACTTCATATTAAAGTGTTTTACTGAAAAGTGCTGCTAAGATGTTCTCATCAGTTTATTTATTTTTTTCAAAGTTAATGAAGCTTTCAAACTGATTTCTTTCACACACATTTATCCAATCGTACAGAAATCAGAAACCTTTATTCATTTACTAAATTATTATTGATTTAATATGTTTTGTTGCTGGTTTTTAGAATGACGTGAATAAAAGATAAACAAAATGAAAATATGTATTTAAACACAACAAGTTAAAGTAAAATCAATATCAGAAAACTTTATTAAATTGCTTCAATTTTTTTAATTCAATTTGGTTTCTTATTGTTAGAATAAAGTAAAGTAGGAATGTGTAATACTAAGACAAGAATAAAGGTATTATAAATGTAAAAAGTGAAGCAAATAATGTCCAAGAATTAATAAAATACAAAATAAACATATGAAGTTAAATGTCCAATAAAAAACTATTAATAAAATATAATAAAACAAGAAGTTATAGTAAAACTGTGCACATGGTACTAAAATATACACTGTGTATATTACAATATAAACAGTGGTGTGGGAGGCGTGTGGCGCAGTGGGTTAATGCGCTGATCTTCGAATCAGAGGATAGCAAGTTCGAGTCCCACTGCGTGTCGTTGTGTGCCTGAGACTTCACCCCAAATTGCTCCTGGGGATGGCCCACAGTACTGAATGTATGTTAGTCGCTTTGGATGAAAGCGTCCAGCAAGTGACATGTAATGGTGTATTAGTATAAATAAATCCAAGGAGAGGATTTCTATCTATCCTTATTTGTATTATGATGTTCAACCTTCTTCAAACCAAACGGGTCCGACGGTTCAGAAAGGAACAGAAATGTTAATCAGTTTTATTCACGACTCATAAAGCCGTCAGTATTTGTTGATTCCTGGCAGAGCCTCGGCTCCCCTCTGCACATCTGGAAGAGATCACAGATCTGACTGGGAGTCGCCGCATTGTTTGTGCTTTTAGCTTCCAGTAAGAAACAGGGAAGACACGCCGTCTGATTTGCTGAGTCATCTAGTGTTATAAGAATATTCTGGCTTGTGGGAAGCTTTGCCATAGCTTTCATTGCTCTAAATAAATACGACCCGTTTGTCTTTTACAAGACGGTCAATCCCTGAAACAGTTTTAAATACGAGTGATCTGGGTGACTTTCCGTAAAAACAATCATTTTGTTTCTTACCTGAGGTTGAGGCGGGGTGGGGGTGGGATGTTTAAAATAGAAAACTGAAAGTGAGCATTATGTTTCTGTCCCTTTCTTATTCTGTAATTGTAATATGTTTTGTACTTTTAATGCTCAATAAAATATATATTAAAAAAAAAAAAAAGTTTTGAAATATCACCATCAACTTATATCCAAACCCCCGCACCATTACCATGCCAACACAATATTTCTGATTGTTGGTGCCATTTTGAAGTGTCAAAACATTAACTTTTTAACGCTTTCCGTGTGTTTATCATAAAATAATTCATGGTGTATTTCATTGCAGGCCTTATTTTCTTAGTTTTAGCCATTCGTCTCTGCTAAAAACATGCACACCATAAAAAAGATATTAAACTGAACTACTGTTTGGTATATCGTTGAACTTCCATACATGGCTCTCGACAATGTCCTTGTGCAAAGGCCTTTAATTAACTACGTCTTAGGTGTTCTTATATCTTGTTTTATGTGTAATTTCTGTGGATAATGTTTTCTAAACTTCTCAATGTCTGTGTTTCCAGACTTTGATAACTAAGGTTTTATCACAACCATCATAACTAAAGAGTAAAGCTCTAATCTAAACTAAAATCTATGCTTTATTCTCTGCCGTTAAACTTGTTTTGTTTCTGTGTCATCTTGTCTTCTCTCTGATTTCCTCTCAGGAGTCAGAAGCAGCCACAGATGAAGCCTCTGCATTGGAGCAGACAGCTGTCAATCAAACTGAGGCCTCAGAAGAAGGGGAGGGCAGCGCTGCGGAGGTAAAGCACTGGTTGATATTTCAAGGTTCAAGGGTTTCATTATTATTATCATGTGTACAGTAGCTACAGTGTGGTTATGGCAATTACAATCTTAGGTCCCGAGCTCCTCCAACAATGCAACACATTATATAAAAGGACACAAGACAACAAAATAACAATAATAATACAAAAATTAAACTATTGGAAATGAAACAGAGTACGACACATTTGAATAAAATAGTGCAGGTGAAAGAACCAGAATGTAAGGTTAAATATTGGACAGTGAAATACAATTTGATTTATTATGATAATACATTTAATCAATTCCAAAGATGCAAAAACGAAATAAATGCAGGAGCTAGAGACACGGCGGCCATCTTGCCTTCAGGGTTTACCAAATAGTATTTTATTTCTTTACATTTTAAGTTTATGTTGAGGTTTTTTCGAATGAGTTTTGAATATCTATTATACCCCCAAAAATGGCCTCAAACGAAATCCTCGATGTTGAATGCCGCGATTCAACAGATTGTATAGTTACTGTTTATTTACTTAATGATTACTTGTCAGTTTGGTTAACATAAATACATTTAGTCAGCCGGCGTTATTCCCAATATGTTGTTAGATTGCTGCTGGACGGCCCAGTTAATACAGTCACAAGCAGTGGTGTAGTGGGCGTTGGATGCGCGGGGTAACCCACTTATTTGGAGCATGATCTTTTTTTCAATAGTCTAATACATATACAATTATTGCCAGTGTTATCAGTTTGCAAGTGTGTATTTTTTGTAATAATGACAAAAACATAATAACATTTCACAGTAATTATGAGCGCAGCGCCGTCTGCTTTTTGCCAGTACAGTAACTAAAGTAGGATTAAGCATACGGTAGTCTCTGTGGACCTGTCTGCCCGTTTTGTGAGTGCACTGCGCGCGGCCATTGTTTGGAGCTAATTAAAATAGCGTCCCCCCAGTAAAAAAATCCCCACCACACCACTGGTCACAAGAGGCGCGTTCACACCGGAGTACTTTTCCCGTTTAGTTCCGTTAGTGCCTGGAATTTTGCGTTCACACCAAAAAGAGAACTTATTTCCGAGAACTTTAACCCCCTTTTTTAGTGCCCTGCTAGAGAGGTGGTACTTTCCTGGGGAGAAAAAAGTACCTTACCTTAAGTATTATTAGCATTAGCCCCGCGCTCCAGTAGTTATTGAAAAAGCCTGAAACAGCAGCCACCTCTGGATTCAATTCAATCTTGATTTGGAATTCAAGTGTCAACGTTATCAAACAATTTGGTACTACTTTGACATTTATATATTTCTAATATATTGGCAACAGAACTTTCATTTTTGAATCCATTTTGGGGCCTATAGCAAATCATATATAATTGAACTCATCATCATTACAGTGCCAATACATTCAGATTTTAAAGAGTTCACGTACAAGTTGCATGTCGGTCTCACATCTCTGGTTCTTATTTCCCACCTTATGTCCGGAAAATGTTAGTTATAAGTTACTCAGTGCATCTTTGGTGGCTCACAGTGACTGAAAACACTATGAGACATAAAAAGGGAGACATTAAGCGTTCTGCAGACGTTGTTGACCTGTTGATTCCTCTCGCAGCAGACCGAGCCCGACCTACAGAGGCTCAGGAGACCAAGGAGCAGCAGGATGAGGCTGAAGCCACTCCCCCTGCAGGTATGAACAGCCAATCAGATGTAGCTTTTAACATGTTATGTATGGCATCTCTTTCTCAGGAATCTCAAGCAGTTGAGAGGAAACGCCTCAGAGCTGCTCACCAAAGAGAGCATTTTAACAGATCCAAACAGGAAGTATAGTGACAGGTGTTAATAGTAAAGATCTGAAGCTAACAACTCCTATTTTAATTAATTCAACTGCAGATTGGATAAGATTGTATCTACTTTAAAGGTCACCTATTATGCAAAATCCACTTCTTCATGTCTCTTCTACATCAGCATGTGTCCCCTCTGTGGAAAGAGACTCTGAAAGTTTCAGAACAAAGATTCTCTCTCTTTTTGTCCTGATCCATTTATATTTAAATCTGTCTGAAAATGAGCTGATCAGATTTTGGCCACTTTATGATGTCATAACAATGTTTTGGCTTGTGTAACCGTTAGCCAATCAGCAACCAAGGTAACTCCCCCCCCCCCCCACCTTATCACCTGAATCTCCTCCTAGAGCACCATTGTGTTCTTTTTAACCAAATCTCTCTCAGAGGGGTGTGGGGAGGGGCTCCTTATTTTAATCTAAAGCAGTGCTTCTCAAAGTGTGGTCCGCGGACCACTGGTGGTCCGTGAGCGCCCCCTAGTGGTCCGTGAGTATATTGGTAACATTTCTCATTTGAAATAAATGAATAAATGTAAGTTTTCAGCACTCTCGCGGGAATATCTCCGCAATGGAGCGAGCTTAAGTTTCTTTCGATTGCATGATATAGCCCAGTGCAACACCTTTGTCACACATGTAGCCGCCTGATTGTACCATTTTCAGGCGATTTGTAATCTGTTCTAGAAAAACGATGTGTTTTTGGGATATTTGTGGAGTGGTCCGTGAGTTTTTTTTTATTGGTTAAGTGGTCCTTGGTACGAAAAAGTTTGAGAAACACTGATCTAAAGTAACAGACAGAGAATCAGCACTTTGGAAACAGGGCTGAAACAGAGGGGATTATGGGTAATGCTGCAATGATCTGTTTGGTGTTTGGAGCCAAACACTTCAGAGACATGTTCTGTATATATCTGAGACCTGTAATATATTGATGAAAAACAGTATAATATGAGACCTTTAATGATCCTAAACTGGGCAATAGTTTTTTAACAGCAGCATGTTTACAAGGCAATATGAAGAGACTTTTTCTCAGCAGAGATCTCGACTTATATGTCAATATGTTTCTGACTGACTTAACATTGCTTAATTGGATTGCAAACATTTCTGGATCAGAGCCACCATTATTGGTTCATCCAATCGTATTGTGTGCATGGCAAGTCGACATCTCTGCCGTGAAAAAGGCTTGTTATCAAAGTTAATTCAGAAAGAAATAGATTAGATAAACTTTATGATTGAATAATAGTGTTTTCATCTTTTTCAGACCCTGTTTCTGAGAACCCACAAGAAGAGGTAGAGGAGACATCTAAGGTACGGCTGAAACATTTAGTTTGAGGGGCTTTTATTTGTTATATTAACAAAGGATAGTCTTGCTAAGACATTTTATTAATTGAAGTAATAATAGGGAGTGTAAATGTGTGTTTCGTTCCCTACTAATCTAGGGGTAAAGGTTGAGTAACAGCATGTATAAATAACCTGGGTCGCTCAGGTGAAGTCAGGTGAGATGCAGACTTCCTGTTGGAGGGTTTTGATAACACACCTCCCCTGCACACTTGTTGGACTGGACGCACAGTTTGGTAGGGTGTAGGATGGAGGGCAGGGGTGTCCAGACTACGGCCCGGGGACCCATTTTGAATCGTAGTATAATAACTTAAGTATAATAAACTTCTGCTTGTCTTATATTGTACTTCTTAATATATATATGTTCAAATATATGACACAGTATTCATGTGTTAAGAAGCCCAATTGTCAAATAAATTCAGTCAATTAAAGTTGAAAACATGTTCTAACAAATCTAAGTTGATAAGAAAAAAGCATCCCTAGTGTTTGGATTTTGTACTGTTCCTCACGCTTTTTAAAGTCTTTCCTATACAACGAAATATCATTTCCCTCCCCTGAGTTCTTTCTCCACATTCAAATACATTTCCAAGTTTGTTTCCTGTCTTTGCTGGGTATGGTTTCTGCATGACAAAAAGACGTGTTCGCCTGTTTCATTCTCATTGCATATATCACACAACCCTGTCGGATGTTTTCCTATTTTGAAAAGTGTACTATTGAGATTGCCGTGTCCAGTTCTTAACCTGATCATTACCACTTTACTTTCCCCCCCATCTCATAAAACCCCAACCTTGTTTTGTATTGAATATAGATGCTATTATTTTATGGCGGTGGGCAAACAACTTTTAGGTGCATTTACCGCCACCTTCTGGAAGAAGGCTGATTTTGAAACGGATTTGATGTGGTTTTGAAATGAGAGGGTTGAATCCAAGACAACACCAAGGTTGCGGACCTGAGGGGATGGGGGAGATGATGAACCGTCGATGTGAGGAGCAGATCTCCAACACTTCCCGAGCAGTGCCTTGGGGGCCACAACCATGAGCTCAGTTTTATCACTGTTTAGTTTTGAGTAAGGTTGGTGGTCAATCCAGGTTTTAATTTCGGGTAAGGCATTTGATTAGTGACTGAGGGGGGAGATGGGCAGAAGGTTTTTTGTGCTGATGTACAGTTGGGTGTCGTCGGCATAGGAGTGGAAACAGAGACCATGGCTGCGGATGATATCACCAATCGGAAGATGGATATTGTGAAATAAAGTTACAGTTAAAGCCTTTTATGTCATTATACACAGAGGATAACGAGATTCAGAGTGCAATAGAAGGGGACCGAGCACCGAGCCTTGGGGGACTCCATGGTTGACAGAGGCACAGGGGGAGCTGCAGCCAGTGTGTGTGACAAACTGTGTCCGGTCCGAGAGGTATGAGTGGAAGAAGGAGAGGGCGGAGTCAGTGAGGCCAAGGAGTTCAGACAGGCGGGTGAGGAGGATATTATGGGAGATGGTGTCAAAGGCTGCAGAGAGGTCAAGGAGAATTAGTGTAGTGAGGAGCCTGAGTCATGCTGCGATGAGGAGGTCATTGGTGATTTTGATCAGGGCAGTCTCTGTGCTGGTGTGGTTCCAGTAGGTCAGATTGAAAGGGTTCATAGAGCTCATGGGTTGGACATGTGATGGTGGAGGTGGTCGGGCGCTGCTCTTTACCAAGATTTTTACTAAGGAAGGGAAGGTTGGAGATTGGCCGGTAGTTGTTGAGGTCAGTTGGGTCAAGTCCGGGTTTCTTCAGAATGAGGGTGACTGAGGCGGTTTTGAAGGATGTCGGGGTAGCATGCCAGTTAGCAGGGAGGAGTTAATTATGTCCACGATGGTGGGCAGAACAGTTTGTAATGTTGCCTTTACTAGGACAGTGGGCATGGGGTCCAGAGAGCAGGCGGAGGGCTTGGCCTTAGAGACCAGTTTAGCCACCCTGGACAGCATCCACAGGGGCGAAAGCAGAGAGGTGGCAGTATGAGGAGCGTGCAGTTGGAGCAGCGGCGCTTGGAGTACAAGCTGTGTGAGAGGAGCAGGGGGGGCAGGTGCGCTAAGCTGCAAGTGGATGGAATTACTTTGGCCTGGAAGAAATCCAGGAAGTCCGAGCAGAGGTCACGAGCACCAGGAGGTTGTGGGGCAGCAATGGGGCGGAGTAAACTATTTATTGTTGAAAACAGTTTTCTTGGTTGATGTTGTTGGTCGTGGATTATGGTTGAATAGTATTGAGCTTTGGTCCGGGTGAGCACCTCCTTGTAGGCCCTTACATGGTCCTTGTATGCCTCACGGTGGACAGTGAGACCAGTTCCTCTAATGAGTCTCTCAAGCCGGCGACAAGCAGCCTTAATGGAGCGGAGTTCGGCAGTGAACCATGGGGCAGGGCAGGTGTAGGAGACGGTACAGGTTTTGAAAGGGGCCAGAGCATCAAGGGTGAGCGCTAGGGCAGTGTTGTAACAGGCTACCAGGTCATCAACAGGGGTATTAGGGGGATATGGGGCGAGATGGGATGCTACCATGGTGTGTAGGGCAGGTGCACTCACTGACTTGATGTTCCTGAAAGTGATGGTGCGTTTTGAGCGCTGCAACGGCAGGGGAATAGGTAGAGAAAACAAGATGGCATGATGGTCGGCAACAGCGAGATCTAAAACCTGGAGATGGGTAGATTTAGTGCCCACTGAGCACACTAAGTCCAAGGTGTGGCCCTTAGTGTGGGTGGGACCTTGGACATGCTGCGTGATGTTAAAGCACTCCAATAGTGACAGAAACTCAGCGGCAAAGGTGCAGGTGCTAGAGTCCACGTGGATGTTAAAATCACCTAGCAGTAGTGTGGATGGGGACATGGAGCAGATTGAGGTGAGAAGCTCAGACAACTCAGACATGAATGAGGTGGAAGGTTTGGGGGGGCGGTAAATGAGGACGACCTGCTGCTTTGAGGGGGCAGCCACTGAGAAGGCAATGCACTCAAGTGAGATTTTATTCGTCACAAGCAGCTGTTTGACAGGGATATGCTCTGTGGATGACTGCCAGCCCACCACCACGACCAATGGAGCGGGGCTGTTGGAGATAAGCATAACCTGGGGGGGTGGCTAGGTTGAGTGTGAGGAAGTCCTGTTGGTTTTGCCATGTCTCAGTGAGGCAGAGAAAATCCAATTTCCTTAATGATGATTTCATTAATAAGTGATGCTTTGTTGTTAAGGGAGCGGGTATTTAACAACATGAATGTGGGGGAGTTGTTATATGTTGCAATGGCTGGTAAAACAGTGATGCCATCAAACAGGCCAAGGGCTTCAGGTTAACACTGCACACGTGTGGTTTGTTGTGATGACGAGGCGCCGGGACCACACAGTTGGGATAGTGTCAGCTGAGCCGGTGTAAACAAACCCACGTTTGGAACCTCTATGGACATACCTGGGTCTGCCAACTCGTAACAACCTGAGGTAATCAATGACTGACAGACATAGAGGGGGTGAGGGGGTGTAGTGAAGTGGTTGATCCTAAAAAG